AAAAAAAAATGCTGAAGACTAGGAGCTCCTATTGTTAAATGTTATAAGAACTTACTCTATTTGTGGTGTAAACCAACCCCTAGTAAAGACCATGTGCTAAGAAATTCCCACTTAGGACACCGTCCTTTTCCTCCAGAGCCATAATTCAGTGCATGAGGAATACTTAGTTTTGGACTACCAGATACAATCTCAAGTATGACACACTTCTGGATGGAAGTGTAGTTTATCCTGACAGAAGCTGCCGTGCATTACTACACACAAAAACCTGGAAGCCAACAGCCCTATACCAATCAGCCCCATAGGAACATTAGCATTAGAAAACTCAGTTGTAATTCCTCACTCTCATCGCCCTCCACAAACATGAGATCTGTGAACTCCACCTAAGACTACATGCTGGAAAAGTGGAGCACTGCCACAGATCAGTAATTAACAGTTTCACAAACACTCTCCTTTCAGTGAATCAAAACTTTCTAACAACAGCCAAAAATCTCTTCCATGAACTATCACACAGATCCTGACATTTAATACATTCTTAAGCAAAAACAGGAAAGGCACAGACCATTAGAAAGAATCCATTGGTCACAGAGTAATCTATTGCCCTCATTCTCAAACACCATTTTAAACCTAGTGCCTCCTGCAAGGCTATTTGTCCAAATTATTAGGATCTTTCAAACTTCCAGTCTGAGTTTGTTCCTAGAAAACTTACTTTCCTCCTAGTGTTTATGCATTTGATGTATTTTTAACCTTTTTTTAAACAGTAGTTTGTATTAGGGATATGTCTTCTATACACTACAAACATACATGAAATTCAGAAGTTCACTATACCAGGAAACTGGACAGGTTGCATTTATCAATTCAAAAAAGTAATTGAAACATGACATGCTGAGATCTGAGGCATTAACTTTAAACCATGTGACTGGACAGGAAAAAATATCTTAGAGATATCAGGCAAAATCAGTCTGCAAGACATGGAAGGAAATGATGGCCTAAAAATTTTGCTTGAGAACACTCAGTGAACTGATCAAACGATTATTGGCTAACAAAGATGCAAAATGAATCAAGGTTATTGTTCAGTGAAGCATTCACAAAGAGGCCATTTCTTACCCCATGGATAGTCTTCCTTATTGTGGAAGGCCTAGCAAAACCTCACTCCAGAAACAGCTTATTCAGAACTTTCTTTACATCCAGTAGTCCTACACTGAGTATGTTCAGACTTTCTGATAAAGATTAAAACTTCTAAGTTTTTAATAGCAGACTAAACTGTTGAGTTTCCTCTAGCCTACTCACTCGTCCATCACTACAGATCCACAAGTGTACAAATATTGCTAAATTCAGAACTGTGCACCAGAGAAGTGTTTCTTCTAGCTTTTGAAGGTTAACAAGGTTATAAAGCTTAATTACTGCTACACTTTCACTAATCCTAGAAGTAGAAAATAATTTCTAAATTTTTATGTTTTAATAAAAAGGGTAAGAGCAACTTTTCTATTATCATCTCTAGTAATAGCTAGACAGTCTTATTCTACCAAGTTTCTGTCATCCACTTATTCTGGGATTAATTCTAAAAAGTAAACAAGTTTCTCCAGCGTGATTAATTGTCAATTGCATCCTTATTATTTCTGACATAAGAACATGATACTAACCTGGGGTATGTACTGCCACATAGTAACAGCCAAACCCTGCTACCTGTTCTGAAAAATCATTTCAAGCTCTTATCTTCTTTATCTCTCTATTAAGACCTTGCTTCTGACAGACAAAACCACTCTCCCTTCCCATCTCCCTCCTCCCCCAATCTGTTTCACTCTGTCATTCTTTTCTTTAAATCCTTCCATACACATGGAGTTCAACCTTCTTGTTCTTGACTTCAAGGCAACCACATGTACCCCTAGTTATATGCTTTTGATAACCTCCAGACCAGTCCATAAATGGTCAGCTTCCACACCATCTTCACTTGCCTTTCGTTGTGAGCTTCTGCTTTTCCTGCCTGTAGGCTGAACAGCTTGAAACAAACCATCTTCATACCAAGATTCCACTAAATGATCTATTTCTGTCAAAATGTCCAAGAGTAATCATGTTCTCCTTTAGAATAAGTATTAGAATTTGAAGTAACATTCCCTCATTTCCCTGTTCTACAGGCTTCTTAGTAAAATTTAAATTTGACCAACTGATTCATTTCAATATATTTTGAACCTGAACACTCATTTGTCTTTCATGGCAGATTTTACATAGCCCAGATAGCTTATATATTAGGGAGGAATTATGTTTGAATAAAAGATACCTGCAATGACTCACAATATTTCAGCAGCAATAAAAACATGGCACCAACAAGCTTGCCAAGTATTACTTTACTACCCCACTCAATTTTGCTTTTCATCCAGGACACAGGAAGAAAGCGGGTTTGTATAACATCTCTCAGAAGTGTTATTTTCACAGGACCAGGCTTTTAAGTACTTTTGAAAAAAGATAAGGTTCAAGTACGTACTAGGAAATCTGAAGACAACAAAACATAGAACCATATAGCATTTGTCATATTTTTCCCCCTACTTACTTCCATCTCCTCATCTTTTGAGAGTCACTCTGCAATTGGATTAAGTATCACTGACAATTGCTGTACCTTTTTTCTCTACATACGCCTACTTCCACGTGTTCTGGTGTTAAAGATGACTAAGCATGGCTACTGCTGTTGACTGACAGGTATGTTTTGATTTCTATCCAATTCCTGTTGGACAGGCATCTTTTACTGTTGCCACAGTTGCAGTAGACAGGAGCCAAGAAGCAACTGCTGCAGAAACAAAATCCTCTTCTCACATTCTTATCGGGACTGGGGCAAGCATACTTGGCAGGAGTAACATGTAAATGCTTACTATAAACTGAGGAAAGCCCAGAGTCTATTACTATCATATGTATCTCTCTGAGCCTGAATTCACTTGCAGATTAATTAACCGTCTACCCTCACTGCTTTAAAACCCTGAAAAATTAGAAAGTTAAAAATAGATCTTTCTCTACCGAAATACCATGACATCCTTAACATTTTTTTCAAGCCTCCTGAAGCAAGTCATGGGAACAATTGCTTGGACACTTTTTTTAATGTGAAAATCTTTCATTAAAACTATCATGTGCTTAAAATTCCCTTATTCTTCCCCTCTTCAAAAATTCTAGGTAGTTTCAGGTCTCATAAAGTTAGGTTGTCGCATTTTAACAAGCATTTGTTTTCACATCAGGTCGACTGTCTCTACTTGATCCTTCAGTGACATATTAAACAGAAAGTATCAATCATGCCTGTGGCAAGTTGCTAATGTCACATTTAAGAATGTTGGGAGAAATAACAGTCCACCCCATATGATATTCTGAGTCTTTTTCGAAAAAATTCAGATTACAAGCAACTTAAGAAGCATCAGTTTCCTTGACAAAAGCAGGACATCTGAAAATAGACATCTTCCAGGCTAATGAAAAAATTTTAATAGAGCTTCAGTATCAACAGATTGTTTTCTCAGTCAATTCAACAGATATTATATGCATTACAGCTCACTGGTTGCTTGTCATGGGAAAGACCTAAAATTACTCTACAGAAAGCCTGACACTTAAGATACTAATTTTTTAAAGGAAATAATACATGGGCCTATAGTAATCTTAACTTCTGAGTGACAGTAATTTATGCATTCATATCCCATATGAGGAATAATGATGTCAAATTTTACTTGCTTTTAGTGCAGATAACGTAAGTACATCCAACAACTTACTGTGCTAAATTATTGAAGTATTCTGTAATTATTTTTTTTTCCTCTAAAGAAATCAGCCTATAAACAGATAAATTAGTGAGGTACAAAATGCAATGTAGAGATTAACATCTGAAAGTCTTATAAAGAGTAAGTTTTGTCACCTTTCAGGAAAAATCAATTATATTTTAAAGAATTTCTGGAATATAAAATACATTCTCTTAAAATATTAAAGAATGGATTCCCCTACCACTTTGTACCTTTTACTTTCCTCATACCATAAGACATGTTTGGAAAAGGGACTGTTTTCTTTGTATTCCCAACTTAAGGGAGTCACGCACAAGATATTTTTACTAGTTGTTTATACAAATATAGCCAAATACCTACAAGCACTCCTTTAATTACATGCCAACATTCTGTTTATTAAGACTACTAATTAAAATATGAATTGCAATTTAGATTGTAAACAAAAAAAACCCACGTCCTCATTTATCTAAATACAGACCAAACTTGATTCTGACTGATGCATGGGTTGAGCTTCTAAACTAACCCCAAAGAATTAGCAAATAAAGGATATATTTGGAAAAGAAAAATCAATCATTACTGTTTACATAATAATTATGTCTCAAAGACATGGATACTAAGGTCATGTTTACAAACCTGTTTTTCTTGCAGAGGGCTTTTGAGCTAAGATTTAGCTTTTTACTGCCTTTACACTATAAAAGCAGTTCACTTTGGGACTAAGACGACAAGTTTCTCCTTCCCTCCGTATAGTGAGGTACACAGAGAACATTACACATGATAAAACTTTTATCAGAACTATTACTAAATCAACCAAGTTACACATGGTCAGCATTTATTTAAAAAAAAAAAATCTAATTGATTTAGGTACCTTACTTCCAAGGCACCAGAAAAATTCTGGCCCAGGTTCCCAACTGTTATATTTAACAGTAAACATATAACAAGTGTTCTTAGCTGGAAAACCTATACAATAAAAAAAAAAGTACAGTTTTGGTAATCTAACAGCAAATATTCATTGTAATTTTTAACAATAAATAGTATCAACAGCCTTTAGGGGGACTTAGGTAAGTCTTTTGGCAAACGTACATGTGCTTCCCCTATTGATCAACTATCTATTTCTATTCTAGCAAAGCTACCTTAACTACACATAGACAAGCTCCTTTTAAGGTATCGTATTCCTTCTGAACTTCCACAAAGCAACTGTAGAATAGCCGCATACAGTAGAACAGAAATTCTCATCTGTTTTAGGAATCACAAAGCAAGCACTGCTGCTAGATGTCTTTATTTTCCTTTAACAAAATACACAAAGGCACAAAATTCACTTATATCTTGTCATTATTGTACAGGTATAAATAGTGCTTTGTATTCAAGTACAATCAAGTGCAGAGACTTTCTATATTTTATGTAAACACAAAACAGTTTTGTATGTAGGTGTCTCTGGTTCATCTGCAATGCAAATAACCAAAGCAGATACCATTTATCTGAGTGCCATTTAACTGAATTCTGTCAAAAGTTAGACAATGAATAACATTAACACCACTGTAATGACACTTCCATATGCTTAAGTCAAATGTCAGATGACACTTTAGCTTGTAAACATCTGTGTATTTAAAGTGTACTCAATTCATTTCAACAGGGAAGCATTGAAAAGTATCTTAAGTTCACTAGATCAAACTTACTAGGTCAGCTGCTGCCAGTAATTGCTCTTTCTGTGTGACAGCTAAAGAGATGTCATCACAGGTCACCCTTAGCAAAACTTATACATCTAAGTTTTTAAATATGCAAACTGAACAATGGCTACAACTGTTAGACTTCAACTAACTATACATTCTGTGTGTTAACTTATTTGAAGACACATGCTTAATTTACAATACCCACTTTTACATATAGTTTTGACATACTGTGGCAGTTGAGGCAGTTTAAGCTCAAGCGAGATTTTTAAGTCGTACCATTAAAAAAAGCTCACCTGAATAGTAACAACAGGCATGAACAAAGCTAAAAACTAGCTACAGAAGGCACTTGAAGTACTTTATTCTGCTTTCATTAAAGATTCTTCACTTTGTTCAGCTGAAATAGACTCTGAGATAGAGTCTTCAGTTGTTGAAATGTTTTCTGTTTCTTCTTTTTCAACTTCTTCAGCTAACTTATCATTTAGCTGCTCAGGACTTGGTGCTTTAACATCTGTCTCATTTGTCTCAATGATCTGCGCCGTGTCTTCTTCAGATACTGTGAAATGAAAAATGGTGAAATAACCATTTCCAGAAAAGAAGAGGTCGCTAATATTCTTAAAAAGCAAACAACATTTTGCAATCACCCAGGTTTTGACTAGTCACTACATGAAGTTCTCAACTGCTAAAAACCATTTTCTTTTTCTAACAAGTCACAGGTAAACCTGTAACATTTAAGAAAAAGTACTATGGAAAAGAGCTCATATCCCACTATAAAAGTAGTATGTATTATTTGTATGTGTACATCCTCAACAGAATATTTCTAAGCTTGTTCATTAATATGAGGCAGTGTCAAAAATAAGACATAATGGTAATTCATTGTACTCAATAATGGAAGTTTTACCAACTATATAACTTACTCTAAATTAGTTCAATCTGTACACAGAATATAAACATTCTATCTGGTGGATACTACTTTAAACATAAGGAGCCAGACAACCAAAAAAAAAAATTGGAATAACCTAGTTCTTACATCCCAAAACCAGGCAATGAATATTACTGCATATTCTCAACCTTCCCACAGGAAGCGTAGGAAGGATACACAAGGGTATCTTTACTCTCAATCTGGGATGGGAGTTTCTTTCACAACAGGCATATTTTGAAGATCAGTCAAAAGTACTTGTCATCATTACTACCTCTAAAGAAATAAACTCTAGGTTCACAACACGATTTCAGTAGCATATAAGAAATGAAAGAGTCACATTCTGAAGTAAGCATAAGCACCAACAAACTGAACACTGTTACACTAAATGACACAAAAGTACTGTAGAATTATACTGTTGATAGTGGCTTATTTATTGACTAGTATTAATCAATACTATACAGCATTAATGCATATTGTGAAGGTAGTTTGCAAAACTGATGCAAAGTTATAGGTCAAAAATGTTTGTTGTCAAATCCTTGTAATTTCATATTTATCAAAACATGTTGGGTGTCTAAAAGTAATAAGACTGCTTCAAGCTTATATTCACAGAATTCAAGCAGGGCTGAAAGTTTCAGAACCATTGCTCTGGCTTCTCAGGTCACAACTGACAAGAGTAGCTGCTGCACACCCTTGTCCAGCAGACCTGGTACAACTGCCATCCGTCACCAAGAAATAGAGAACCCTCTTCCCACAAAAAGCTCCACCTAGATAGTTCCAGGCTCCATTCAGACTGCTCAGGGCAGCCCAGCCTCTCCATTTCTTCCCGACTCGATCTTCCATCTTAGCAAGTTTGCAGCTGACTCCTCATACAGCTTCCTTCCCTGCTTTCTCTATCACAGGCTGCTCAGCACCTGCCCTGGCTTCTTGTTCCAAAATTTCTCTGAAGCCATCTGTCAGATAGTCAATCCTCCTATTTCTGCCCAGGAAAATTAGTGTCCCCAGTTTCTTTCCAGACTACCCCACCCTCCCTTCCTGCTCTTCAATTTCCATCTTGATCCCATCCCAGCCTGTGTTCAATCTTTATCTCCCAACTGTCAGTTTTCTTTCTGTCTTATCTCTGCATTTTTTCTTCAGCCTCAAATCCTATGAATAAGTTTGTGCTTTTTCCTGCTACAATCCCTGCACACTTGAGTTACATTCCTCCTTTATTGCTGCTGTTCAGGCACAAGTCAAAGTACAGGATGTGCAGAAGAAACAACTCCATGCTCTCAACTCATTTGTAGCATAGCCCAACCATTACTTATGTACAGAGCTTGTCCTGCAGTCCTCAACTGAATGATGCTTAGCACTCCACAGAAGTGACTCGTTCTTAGTCTGATCAAGGTGAAGAGACTATTCATTCAGTCTGATCAGGAGGATGCCAAGCATCAATGTGTTTGCAGACAGTCCCAAGGACAATCAGCCACTAGTAGAAGAAAGCAGAAGCTTCTAATGAAAAGGAAAAAATCTGATCAAGTGCAGGTTCTATATTCAAAGGAATAGGAAAAGGATGCTGCTTTCATTTTTATATTCTACTAAAAGGTATGGAGACACTGCTTCTCTAAGAAAAAATTGTCAGGTATTATATGACTTTTGCCTTCATCTTGCTTTTGATTAAACTTAGTGAAACTCTTTAAACTTTCCAAAACATAGTTAAAACAAACTTACATGTAAAAATTTAGTCTAATAATTAAGCCTGACAAAGCTATAAGGAACTAAAGAGTAGGTCCTTTAAAGAATTAGTCATGGCAATCACAGTAAGTGGTGCTACTAACTCCAACTATAACCATGAACAACATTAAACATACACATTAAACATCATTAAGCATATACAGTGATTCCATTTTAAATACACCAATTAAGGGAAAGCTTGCCTAAAGTCAACTTGATCTCAATATTGCATGATTTAAGTTGCTGTAAGAGCAGTAGCTAACAGGAGAAAACTCTGCCCATAAACTTAAAAAGATGATAAAAAAAAATTAGTGTCCTTGATGATTAATGCTTAATCCACAATTTAACTGAAGAATGTAGCTACACATCTATGATTTCAACAGCACAGCCCTATGCTGGCCCAAGGCAAATTTAAGAGCTGTATCAATGCAATTTTAAAAAACCTGCTCCTGGCTATAGAAGTTCCAATCTTCTCTTCCCCACCTCCTTCTGCCCCAACACTGCTGCTTAATGGTTAGTACTTAGAAGGCATATGTACTTCACATTCTAAATTAGTCAGCTACCCTTATTGTGGCAGAGAATATTTCACTAAATAAGCAGTGAAATCACAATACTGCATCACTATTAAATTAAGTAGATGTATGTCTGTTATGCAGGAATTCACAAAAAACAGTATAAAATAATTGCACTAAAATACAGCTACTTTACTTGTACATTCAAGACCTTTGGGGCAAGTTTTCTTCACTACTATAGCTCTCCGTTAAGACAGACTTTCACACAGTGCCATGTGTCTGAAACATCTTCAAGGAGCATGTGCTTCACAGCAGTCTGAGTTCATGGCTTTGATACCACAGAAAGTTATTGTGAAACCTTTGAAAAAGAAGCCAAATAACAGCACAGCATTTTATTCCCTGTTCCCTTTATGTCCCACCAAAAAGGCAAACTATGCTGTTCAGCAAATTGAACTACGGTAGACTGGAAACATCATACATTTTTAAACCAAAACAACTTGTTTACAAGTCATTAAACTCAAGGTGAGTTGACTCACATCTGCTTGAGCAATCACTGAATTCTAGCCATATTAGCTGAACTAAGGAAAGATCACAGGAGGCTGAAACACATCTTTGTAAAGAAACAATGGCTTACAGAAAAAATGCAGCGGGCTAATGCTGTCCTATGAAAGTAAAGCATACTTGGTAAAAAGGCAAGCCAAATCTCGGAAACAGAAAATGCTTCTGGTCCAGTTTAAAAAAAACAACACCACACCAACAACACTAAACTCAGACCATTCTGACTAGAACAAATACTCAAGCTTATTTTAGTCCTTTGTCCTCAACCAGTTTTGTTCCTAGACAAGTTTCTGCTCCATCTATAACACTTGCCCAAAGCCAAGCTCTACTTTTGGTAGAACTCATAAGCACGCACTTGAAGCTGCATTATTTCTGGAGGACAGCATTATTGTGAACCGTTTTGTTTCTGCATCTGCCCTTTAAATGGACGTCCTTTCAAAACATAGTAGCAGTTGCTGTATTCCAAGAATCCTTAAAAGTGACAGAGCATTAAATCATCAAAATTTCATCAAGATGGTCAAGGAATTCCATAAAAATTTGGAGACACAGGAAGCTGTCACCATAAAGTGCTGACCACCATGGTGAAATCTGAAGTTCAAAGGCATCTAACGAAGACCACCTCTGACCACCAGCACCAGATATTCACCATAAAACTGAAGCAGTCAAATTTTGTTTTAACCTTCAAAACATTGCTAAATGCTAAACCTGAATCAAACACACTGCATAACAGTACCAAATACAGGCAAGACAAAATTAATCAAGATCAGTGGTTCCTGTTGCCTTTTTTCAATGTGATACAAACATTAGTACTTTCAAGAGAACTACATAAGAGAACCAACTAGCCTTTGATGAAAAAAATTCAAGACCAAGACATTTAAGAGAAAGGTAAGAAGAGAACTGAAGTAAATTGCTTCATTTTGGTACTAAAATTTCCCAAGTTACTCTGCAGAACAGGGAAGCATGACATTTGTGCCAGTAATCTTCATCAGATTGACAGCTGATGACTCCATACCTCCAGAGGATTAAAAAAATCCAGGGTTCAGTGCCAACAGCAGTCCCCATAACCATTCTTCAGATCTCTTATCCACAGGAGTTGCATGTAACATGCTAGTCACTGCATGGGCACACAACTGAAAAGATTCAGCTCCATATTCTACTCATTAGTAAAAAGGAGCTGACTGGTAAACAAAAAAAAAAGTTTATAGCACTTCTGTATCACATTAGCTTGCAGTTTCTTCAAGCTATACAGATATGGTTTAAATGAGTTACAGATAAGAGTTGGATCTCCCTGTGTTGTCAACACTGTGGTGAAGTTGGTTGCCTGACATTAATGTTTGTCTACATCTGTAAGTGAAGATATTCTCTATCCTTGCTATGACAGCAGCTATATTACTGTAGTGAACAAAAGCCTTCCCCAGAGCTATACCTCCATGATAGCTTCATACCTTAAACTTACAACCAAGGGATATGTTCATTTATTAATAGAGCACAACTGCCTGTAAGCAGTTAGGTTTCAAATTAGGGTTCTTATGGAAAAGTGATTTACTGAAAATTTTATTTTCTCATAAGAGATTACTTTGTGGTGAGTCACAGGCAGTTAATGCACAGTGACAAACAGAGGGTAGCACTGACCTCTTCTACATCAAAAAGACATTTCTCAGATATTAGTTATGTAAAATATTAACACATACTATTTCTGGCTGCTTAGTAATTATCAAAGCAAAAAGGTTTCTATCACCTTGGAGACTAAATATTCAGAAAAGATCAGATTTTTAAGCTGGATAAAACCAAGTGTCAATATACCAGTTACTTATTGCCTCTTCTGAAAAATGTCACCATATACTTCCTAGCAGGAAATAAGAACTGGGGAAGAAATCCCACAGTAGGGTTTTTTTCTACTGTTGTTTTTAAAGACAGCAGCACATTAATACAAGACCACACCAACAAAACCCAAGCAATTTTCAGTGTTAAAGTTAAATTTGTAAAATCACATTTACTGCAATAAAACCATCCCATTTTTGTCCTGAAATACTTGATAAAATTCTGCTTTCAAAAAAGCCAAAGTCAGTTTGAAGAATTTTCACTCCCACATCTCAAGTGCATAACGAAAAATCTCACTCTAATTCTTAAGGTTTTATATTTTTTACAACATCTATAAACTGACTCAGCAGCTCAGACTCATTAAAAGCATAGTTTGATAAACATTTCCTTCAATGATAATACCAGCCTAATTAGCACTCCCCTCTCCCAAAGCCTCTAAGAACCTGCAGTTATGGATAATACTCAGAAGCCCTCCAGGCACACACCTCCAAGAGCTGAATATCCATCTTTAAGGGCTTCCCCACTTCACTTACACAGAGGAAAATAAGCAGAGTTTTGAAGGCCCCAGTAACAAATTATGTCTTTTCTGTAAGAATCTTCTAAATTTAAAAGGAGCTACCCTTCACTCACTGAAAAGATGAATAGATTATTTGAGGGCAAAGATGACATTTGCACCATCTTAGCTTAATGCATCTGATTTCAGTCTTATTTTCCTGCTAGTAACAGTACTTTTAATGAAGTAAAAGCACACTGTGGCACAGGAAAAGAAACCAACCAAGTTCTCCAGATAATGCACCAACATCAGACCACACCCAGAGATGGCTACAGTTTGGTATGACTTCTCTACCAGCCTCATGCAGCCTTCTCATGCCAGAAAGTAAAGGCCAATGTCATTTTGTTCTCCCTGTTAAAGATAATCAAGAAGAAACATTCTTTCTGCTACACTCTGACAGTTTCCCACAGTTGGTGCAATTCTAGCCTGAAACAGAGCTGTACACTATTCTACACTATTCAATATCTTCCTCCCCATGATCACTGTTTAAACTAATGTAAAATCCCATCGAGTACTCAATGGCACATCTAACTGAAGAATCTCTGGTTTGAAATTATAATTTCTGGAGTCTTTTAAAACACTGAATCTTCCTGTTGGCTGTACACCAGATGCTTACTGTATCTGCAGACTATAAAATGTCTCAAAAGGAACTATGTTAAATTAAAATTGACAATTTGTCTTTGAACTCCCTGAAATTAAACAAGGTAGTTTTACTAGACTTTCCTGCCCTGAGGAAAACAGCAAAAGGAACAAAGGCAGGAATTCCAACACACCTCAACCAAATGACCTGCTGAACACAGTGAAAGTTAACCACTTCAGGACATACTCCCTTCTTAACTTTTTCTGTAATTTACCATGCTATTTTCTATCTATCAGTGAAAAATTTTGTTATGCCATCATTTGCAAGAGACATACTGCCTAATATGAAGAAATTTTAGGATACAGGACAGAAGACAATGGTATCAACAAGCTAAGAAGCTAGAAGCAAGGACAAGAAGAATTAAAAAAAATTATAAACTGCACCCACTATGAAGTCAGAATAGACTAGACTATTTCAGTTGGAAGTGACCAACAACAATCATCTAGTCCAACTGTCCAACCAATTCAGGGCTGACCAAAAGTTAAAGCATGTTGTTAAGGACACTATCCAAATGCCTCAAACACCGACAGGCTTGGGGCATCAATCACCTTGCTATGAAGCCTGTTCCAGTGATCTGAGTTCTTCAGTTGTTCTTACTCTAATTTAAAAACTCATCTAAACAGAGAGCTAGATGACTGGGAAGAATTTCATTGGGCGTTAAAAAAAAGAGCAGACTTCATGAGATTAGCACATACCTTCTGTCTGCTGAGTCTCCTGGGGCTTTCTCTCTCTAGGTTCTAGAAGCTCGGTTTCAGATTGCAATTCTGTAGATTGCTTTTTTTCAAAACTGAAGTCTGGAAGTCGTGGAGCCTGAGGTCTAGTTTTTCTTGCAGGATTCAGGAAAAAGCAGTAGGCACACCTAAATGCTAGACAAAAGCACACCCAATAAATAACCTCAACTAAATAATTTCACATTTCACCTTTATTCCTACGCTACAGTCTGACTGTCCAAAAGACTAAAAGCAGAGAATTAAGTAAGTGACTATCACTACATAAGAGTACCTCCATCAGATTTACCCAAGCTGTTCCATTTAGCTTCATTTTTAACTTCAGCACCATTTGCTGCTTAAAAGCCTGTTTGATTTCAGCTCTGCTGCACTTGTGAGTACTGCCCACCACTGTGAAAGATCTGACCACAATGAACAAAATAATGCAATTCAGTATGACCAGATGTAGCCACATGGTGTTCTTCTATTCCTTCCAACAAAAGAATTAAGTTGGCAGATGATTTCCACACACATACCCCCCCCCTTAAGATGCCACTTTCCTCATCCTGAGTAAGGAGATGCTATGGATTCTGCAAGGTATGTCTCATTCTGCTTTTTGAGGAACATTCTGCTCCAGTGTTGCTTAATTAAAAAAAGGCAGTTTTATTCTGGAGAAGTACTGGATACCACTTCGCAGTTCAATGTATATTTATACACACACACACACCAAGACAAGGCAGGGAAGTGTTAATTTTTCACACAGTTGAATTGTGATTGCACTCGAGCTAAGATGACATATAGACTATGTATCTTAGGTTCCATAGAAAACATTCAGCTTATTCTTACAATGCTGTCTATTCACTCATAAAATTAAGCAAAACAAAATGAAATAGAAGATTTATCTAAGATTCCCTCATTTCTTAAGCACCAGACTTACACTTGTGGTAGAAAGGAAGCAAAATAAAACATCTGTGTTCAATAAAGAGCTGTGTCTGTTAAGTTACTGTCAGCCATAAATTCACATATAGCCCCCTAGGGCTTGTTTCCACTCCTTTTCCGATACCTCCCCAAGATCTTCTTGCCAAAGCAAAATTTTGTTTAAGTTCTGGTAAAAGAGGCACACTTTAATGTCAGATAGTTTCTCAATATAAAACCCTTCTGAGAACCATTCATAGCCAATAGCATTTCTCAGGGATGTATTGGAAGAGGCTTATTTCTACTGAATAGTTTTCTACACATAAAATCTTTGGCCTGAAGGTTGCAATAAAGCACTTCTCTAAGTCTTAAAGTGAATCTTAAGATACAAAGTAATAAGTTACCATAAAACTGTTCCCATAAGAAATGGCATTTCACAGTGTCAGTTAAGTACTTAACTACAACCAGAATGAAGTATGATGCATGTGAGTTATGAAACATAAGCCAACTAATAGAGTCTATCACAGATCAGCTCTTACCTGTATATTCAAACTCCTCCTTCAAAGCCATACCATTGTGAGAAAAACATTGCTGACATATAAGGGCGTACCTAGAAAACATGAATATAATTACATACATTTAAGTAGTAACACACTGACACTAGATTCATTTTACTTTAAATATTGAGTAATAGCTTAGATATTTACTCTTAAAAGTTAATTTCCACAGCAAAATTATTATCCTTTAACACAAAATAAATCTGTATATTAAATAATAGCTTAGGTTGGTATATAAACAGTGAATTATTCTTATCTACAATTTAAACCTCATGATTCCACATATTTTTAGTATCATAACTGTCAGAAAATAACATCCACAGTAAGTTTATATTTCAATAGAATACAGTCAATATGAAAAGTGACCATGATTAACATGGATGTTCTGATATGTTTCGACAGTTCTGAAGGCAGTATGAAAGCATTTATGATGGCAATAAAGCTGAAATGCTAAGTTTTTGGTTTTTTGTTTTTTTGTTTTTTTTTCAGTTCAAAAGGATTCATTTACCCACTTGAGCATAGATTTTTCTCTTTGTATCACATGGCTAACACCACCCAAGTGGAGGTTAATTTTATCAAAATGTTACCATTTTTCATAGAAAGAGATTTCTGGTGAAACACTGAAAAAGGGCCATTTCACTATGAAAATTTCAGGCAAATTAATTTATAATTCCTTTAACCTTGACACTTCTGTCTTGGAAAACAAAAAGTTAAGAAACTTCCTATCTCCTAAGTGTTTAGGTGTTTCCTTTAGCAACGTTTTACCTGTTCTGAGGACCATCGCCAACTAAATATTCAATAACTCTATCCACAACTCCCCTTTCTCGAGGAAGAATAGGTCTTGCTAAAGGAGGACCTGGAGGATGAAGACCTAGGAAGACACAAACTATGTCAAAATTATTTTCAACTATGTTATTATATATAATATTTCACTGTGTGTACTAGTGTCATAAAATAATTGAACCTACTTATTATACATGGCCATATTTCTTAGTCTACTAGGAAAGCTGTAATATTTTTAAATCCACCATAGCTAGAGTTCCTATTCCACTCCTTTAGTTTATCATCATATTAAAATCACTCTAATTTTATCCCTTGGATATGTAATTAAATTTATAATTTCTAAAGGACTTAAGGCATCCGTAGTATTTAATGATTGCTCACAGATAGAGGCTTTTTAAGCAAAGAAAAAATCCTTGAGTTTTCTTCATATACTCAACTCCACATATTCAACACTTCAAGTTTACACCAATATATCTGGTAAAGTCAATTGCAACAGTAGAAGAACAATTTATGTTATCAAAGAAGCACCCACTGGTTTCTGTGTAATTACTACACTGCTTGAGCATGCCCTCTGTGTGCATTCAATATACACATTAAACCTGTCCAGCCATTTGGCATTTTGGTAATCCCATGTTTAATGGAAAGTTGGATACTTTCAGATTTATGCTTAGTCAAAGAAGCCAGAAGGCCACTATTAAAGTATCATTTTTCATATCCTATGTGTTTAACAAACTACTATCAAAACAAAACTCCATTAAGAACAGGTAACAGCAACAGTTGGTATTACCTTTGCCACCTCTGTTTACAATGGCAGTTAAAGTAGGCCAGTGGTACAAACTTGTCTTTCCACAAAGTTTGAAAGCATCTGGTCTATTATACAAGACCAATGCACCCTGCCAACTTCCATTTATGTAGCTCTGAGTTCTCATGTCTACCTTCCATAATGAGCAAAACATGGTTTGGTAAGGTACTAAGTCTGAATCAACTCAGATGTGACCATTCAAATAACTAAGTATCTGAAACTTCTTCCCAAAGCCATCCTCCTGGCCAAGACACATTTTACACAAGCACAGGAAGTATTAAGTTACAGTACTTGCAACAGATACTAGACAGATAGTCTTGAATGTAACATAATTAAGTGAGCACCTGGGGGGTAAACTTAAAACCTATTTCCAGAAGACCTTTATGAATTACATTCAAAGGCCACAAAAAACAGTGTTCAAGTATGACAACAAACCAGCCCTTTCAGAACTCTGAAACTGGAGCAAAATGGTCAGCTTCAAGCCACCTAAAGACAAAATTAGGAAACCTGACAGATCGGACTCCGTTTAACCCAACAACAAAATTACTTGTAATAATGTAAAAGCCCTATTCAAGCTCAAGATAGTTAAGGTGGTTAGACAGAAAAAAATCAACTAATACTAGCAGGTTTCATACTGAAGTGAGCATATGGTAATCTGGAGCCATGCAAGAAGTATATATAATTCATAGAAGCAAAGTTCTCAAGGCGCAAAAAGTAACCAGTGTTTTCTCAGGGAAGAGTTCTGGCCTGTAGCTATTCTCACTGTACCAAATAAAACCAGATAAAAGGCATGGCTTAAAAAAAAAAAAAAAAAAAGGCTTTTAGTGACCACCGATTCAGCCTTCAGTTCTCTCTTAGATTAGCTGTATGCTTCCAGTATTTTTCTTGAGAAGATATATTTCACAGAATCCCCCATAATGCCCAATAAACAAAGAGGAAGCTAAAGGGTAAAACAAACTAAACCCATTGTCTGAAGATGAAAAAAGGATTTAAAAAAAAAAAAAAAAAAAACAGAAAGATAGTAGAGTTTGTTAGCAAGTTGAACTAAATTCAGGACATTTAATTGAAAGATACCCTGGAAAAAACAGCAGACTACAAGCTTCTCAGAAGACAGATTTAGCTTTCTTGTAGCACCTCAGCTGGGTACAACATAGAGAGTCCTTCCAGAACAACTAAGACTTTCATACACACAGAAATGATATGTACCTCTTCAGTAGAGTATACACAGGCAAAGACAACAGAGCAAGTCTTACTATTTGATAAGCTGATCCAAGATGGGCTTTAAGTTTAAATCCAGCAACAAATGTAACTGTCAGCAATTATTATCTCAAGCCTTCTACCTTTTAACCTTCACAGATTAGAGCAACAAAGGAAAAAGAGTAACCTACAGCAGAATGTGCTACACTGTGGTAAACTTCAAACTGAATGCCATGTGCTGCTAACCTCCTTTCTTTATGGGAAGGATCAGAAACATTGTAGGAATCAAACATCTTCAGCAGTGACCTCAAAGTGCTACACATAGAATGAGACTTATCTTGCCATTAAGGTTGCAGTATTTCTAACAGCACAGCCTTTTGAAACACATCTCATCAATACTGGATAATTGACCTAAATAGACTGTTCTAATCTTTAGAAGAACAATGAAGTTTTATCAGAAAATACCGCAATTTACAATCCTACAATAAGCACAAAAAAGTTTCATGATCAACACAGATGTTTTTAAAATAACCTTCGTTTACACAAGCAAGAGAAATTAATTCAGGAGATCTCAATCAGTGAACGCATTCCCAAATTATTCCCATATCCTGTCAACAAGTACAAACCCAGACTAAGGAAACCCTCACAGCAAGGTAGAACAAATTCAGTGCAACATAAACTGGACCTAATGCTTCATTTCACAGATTCTGAAAAAAAGTTGTCCAGAGAAGAGTTCAGGCAAAATATATTTCCTAAAACTTCACAAAAACCTGAGAGCCAATACATCCATTAAAAAAAAAAAAAAAAGACAACGTCCAACATAGGTGTGAAGTAAAGATCTAGCTACCTGGTTAACACTCACGCATGTATTTAGCTCTATATTCAAAAGACCAAATTTTCATATGACCTGTATATCACCAATATATGAAAAGTTCCTAGAAGTTAACAAAAAGGTAAAAATTGAAGTTACCTAGAATGAAACATCACAACATGCTCCAAGAACAACTTCAATCACCTGCCTACTAATAACTCAAACCAACCATCTTAGTTCTCATGCTGTTATGGACACCAGTAATTAATATAAACATCAAAAGCAATCATTGTAGAAAGACTGGTCATTTCTGCAAAGCTTGGCAAACTCTCAACTACCTGCTGGTTATTAATTTTCAAACATATGGGAGCTCTGTGGTAATACACGTTAAATTGATTCTCCTCTACAAAATATAGTATAATGAAAATGAATTATTAATCTTCTCTAAAGTAGAGATAATTAAGGCTATTCATATATGTTGTAAGCCATGCATGAACTTAGATGCAATGATATTACTCTTATAGATACTAAATTTACATACTTTTCACTACAGCTACATAACTGATTTTATATGCCTGGGAGGTTTCAGGAAATACAAGAGAAAACAGGGCTTCCATATTAAGTGACAATTGCAGTGGTTTCCATTGATATCCACGACAAAATAACACATTTGGTCAAAATACCAGTTATTAGTGAAAAAAAGTGCCTATAAAGCATTATCACAAAAACTACATTAAATATTTTAATTAACATGCTTGGCAACTGTCCTTTCAAACAAGTCCATTAATTTTTTTTCCATCTTCCTCTAAGCCATTTCTGCAGTAAAGGCTAAATTTCATCCAGCTTATTCAATGCGCCTGAATCTTCCCCTAAGAATAAAACTATTACATAGCTGATATTATTTTATTATATAGCCAGCTTCTTAAACAAGAAGGAGCATGTGTTTTTAAACTCATTAAGGAATTCTCAGTAAGCAGGTTTCAGTAAACGTGCTTTGTAACCAAATGACAAATTTCCTGGCACAGGGAGCTGATTTCTGATACTTCAGGATAATCAAGACTTACTAATAACTTGCCTTTACAGTTCACTTCAGGGATAAAAACAAATTTAGCAGTTCCATAATACAGGTAAACAATTACTAACAAAAAATAAGGCTTAATGGACTCTGAAGAGAAGTGAGAGATCACAATTTTTCGTGACAAGTTTATTCCAGTACACTGAACAATACAAACAGGCATTTTGACATTCAGCTGCCCAAGATCTTCCATTACGAGATCAGGTGTCAATATATTATGTATAGTCCTACTTTTAGACTGTATCATGGAAGTCAGTAAGCAAGGGTATACAGTTTATAAGACTTCAGTAACTTACAAGTTAAAAATCAGGAACACAGGGCAGAGAAAAATATGCCTGATCACTGTATAAAGAGCAGAGAACAACTCCACATTACAGTGGTGTTCAGAAGATTCTTGGCAAGTTGCAACCCTTCTATTTTCAAGGCAGCATTTCATCTCCTCTCCCGCCTTGTGATCCAACCCGCCAGACATCCTGCAAAGGCCTGGCACTAACCCATACACAGCTTTACCATCCATGAGGAGGATGAGAACAATGCCTCCCACCCAAACCTCTCAAATTTTGCTATTCCTTCTATGGATTTTAGCCAATGTTCTATTTAATAAAGTCCATCCCATCTGAACACCAAGCCAGAAATCAAGGAAAAAACATTTTCAGGATATGAAACAAAATTTTAAGGAGCACTCACTTCTACCAGATTTCAACCTGTTGCTAAACTTTTTACTCTTGTGTAACAGTGTGATTTTAGAAGAATTTGGCTATAACACAAACAACTTTTCTGGTATATTTGGCTTTAATCTATGAGTATATATTGCATGACTATACCTCCTAGAGTAAAAATTTAAATAAACGTCAAGATGCATGTTAAAAAAATATGTGCAGGGTTTAGTGAGAAACATGAATGTATTCTGAAAGTGTTCTCCTCTGAACCTGATTTATATAAGTGTAGAGCTCTTCTAAACTAAGAACATAAAAAGGTATGCTATATTGTTGACTACAGAATACTGCAAAGTTTTATTGCCATTTAAACAAAGAAGCCATAACAGTTAAATGAGCTCAAGCAATAGGTTTCAGCATCAAAAGGTGCCAGCTGTAAAGAGTTATGGCTAATTGAATATGGAACTCTTGCTTAATCAGATAACTGCTCTGCTATTTCCAAATGAAATGCCATTTCCATACTGTCTGAAAATGGTCTATTTTATTGGTAACCAGAGAAAACAATATAAACTGTAAATAACATTAAGTGCTCTGTTTACCCATTCCAGGCACTGAAGTAGCAGGGGATCCAAGGCGTCTTGGTACATTTGACTGCAAAGGTGGCACAACAGTTCTTTCTGGAGATCCACTCAGTGCTGGTGTGTCTCTCTGCAGATTAGGAGATGCTGGAACCTGTGATTTTGGAGAGCCTTGTTTAGGACTCGTAGGTAGGGGCAAAGCAGCATTCCTTTGAGCTGTGGTCCTCTGACGAATTTCTGACAACAACATGTGCATACTGAATTTAACATCTAGCATTACAAGCAACAGATTAGTAAAAGTACATTAATATCAATATTCCAATCAGCAAATTAGAGTAAAAAAAAACAGAAAGAAGTCTGTAACTAAAGATCACCAGCTGCCTGGAAGAGCATGCCACAGACATAAACCCCACACAGACTACTATATTTTAATAGCAATAAACATTAACTGTTAAATACTTAGGGTAAAATTCTTCTAGAATAAAGTTAGCAGATACCTACCTTACCATTCTATTCTCTAAAGCACAATGTTAGAGATATTAACAGCTAGATTCAAACCACAATGTACAGACAGAGTTGATCACTGTTTTTACTCTATGGTTTAAACATGCTTCCAAGTATTTAGCTTTCCATGGGACCAAAAACTATTCAGTCAGTGTCTAAAACACCCAGGCTAAGTGCCCAGAGTTACTAAAAAAATTTCATATTGAATAAGTGAACGAATTCTAAAGCCAGAAGAAAACAAAATGCTTCTCTCGGATCATATAGTTTCATTCACTTTTTTCAGCAGCCCTACCAACAATCCAGATGCTTGGATTGTCACAAAGCAAGAACAAGCTTTGCTTGAACATGTCCTTACTTTTACCTCTCCTCACTCCACTATCAGTGTTACTATTAAATCACTATTGCGAAAAGCTTAATGGGTTTTCTGTGTTATTCTTACTTCAAGCCAGAGTTCTCAATAACACCAATGGCAATATCACCCCAGTAATATATTAAAGTCTAGATATTATATTATTGATGCAGGGAAAAAGTTCCATTATACTCAAATTTGTTTCCCAAAACAGGGCAGGAACAGTGCTCATGAATAACAGTCACTATCATCTATTTCTCATCCCATCTATACCTAATCACCTCTACAGAGCCTTTGAAATACACTACCGCAACAAATCAAATTGAAATGTAACCCTCACTTCAGGGCTGCAGGCATTAACACTGTTAACAAGTGACAGCTTACTCTGTGAAAGGTACACCCCAAGAATGCCTGCACCTAAGGCTACAGTACCCTACAGAGTTAGCGTCTAGCACCCACATTAGTTTGAACAAGCTTGCTTGTTTTCCTTCACAATAAATGGAATTTAACATTTGAGTTGGACTTAAATTCATTTCCCTGAGTTTCAAGATTAGAGAGATTATCTGATGACTTTGTCAGGCTAGAAGAATTTAAATCCTTAGCAAGTAACCAGCCACAGGGAGATGGGTGTGTTGAAGTCTGAAGGAACAATTCCTGTCCCCAAAAGTACAATACTACCACACTAAGCTTCTGTATGGGCTGGAGGAGGCAGGCAGTGCGTGACATCATCTTACACTAGCTAAGGAAGAGTTGCTATCACTGGAGTACTAAGCAAAACATAAAATTTCTGCTGGAAAATCACCAATGTGCAGTGCAACAAAATTGCAACACATAGGCTATATTCTTGCCTACTTATCTGTACATATAAATACAATTAGTATACACCAGAAGAAAGGATAAAAGACTTTTTGGTATCACCAGTTAGAGGACTACAACAGCACAACGTCTTACTAAAAATCTATCTAGTTCAGTTTCCTACAGAGCAGAAATTACACGTTTTCCCTGCCACACCTTCAGGTGCCTCACTGCCTTACTTCCCACAACTTTATCATCCAAGTTAGATCACCCAATGAGTATGAAGATTCCGTATTTTAACTTGGCTTTAGCATGTAAAGTTTGTCCCCTCACTATTTAAACTGTTCAGAATCTGGAAACCAGCATAAATTGGCGAGATAGTTGCAGAAATTTCATTAAGCTTTCCTTGGTGGCTTGTTTCTATTTTGAAAACTTCTCCTGTGTTGAAAGTTTTATTTTAATCACGAATTCGTTTATGAACCTCACCATTGACATTTCCTTGAGAGCTTTTTGTGAGAGACCTTAGTGACCTTTCAAGTCTAACTACACTAGAATAATTGTATCATCCTCTCTATGACATCTGACCAACAGGCATGACTCATCTACAAACAATATATTGATTCTGCCCCATGATTTATTTACCTATATGTTCAAATTTGTGTTATAGTTTCCACTTACGTATTAGTTTCAAAAAAATCAAGCTGAAGTTATGCAACTTCTCAACTCTACTCAGCTTCACAGATCTTTAAAAAAAAATGAGTGATAAATATGAAGTCTAACTCCACTTGTTCCAAGATCATTTTAAGTATCTACAAAAAGACACTTTAATCCACTGCTAACATTTTCTTCATTCTTTTTCATTACAAAGCCTGCTTTATTATGGTTGTACGTATAAAAATGTCAGAGATCATGACTATAGCTACCCATGGATGTTACTTCCACATTTTGAAGGCTGTCTTCCTGTATCATGTGGTTTAAGCATGTCAATTTTGGTTGCTTAACAGCTTTGAGTGTTTTGATAGGTGATAGATATATTCACATTTATTCTGAGCCCATAATATAATACACTATTCCTAAGCCATTTCCATGCCACCTGCAAGTGATTTGCCCCTTTTGCCTGTTCTTTCAGAAGGGCCATTTTTGGCAAGCCTCCTTTAAAAAGGCTTTCAATTTTTAAAGAGATACTGCTACTTTAATGACTCCTTCCCTGTATTTTTGCTCCTACAAAGAGGTTGAACCCAAACTGTCAGCATTAGAGAGATGTGCTTCAGTAGTTTTAGTATCATTACAAAGGTAAGAATACAAGACTCATTGCTAGTTTCCACAAAACGATATGAGGTTATTCACAAGGCTTTCCTGCTCCCCCACTTAGAAGTTCATTTGGCTTTCACTTTTATCTTAAGAGAATTTGCCAACACTCCACTGCTCCCCAGCTAAGAGAAGATACCACAAGAACTTACATTATGAGAAAATGAGAAATGGTCTCCTTGGCAAGACCAATAGTCCATCCATCCCAGTATTTCATCTCTTACAGTGGTTGTGGATGTTACTTAATGACAACACACAAACCTGAATGATTCCTGTTGCCTACAACTCTGATACCACCCCCAGGATCCATAATGCATTGTTAGGGACATTAGAGGGTACAGCCCTGCCTAATCATTTTAGCATCACATGTGGACCCTTTTGCCCATTAACTCCTCTAAATTCCTGCTAACTGCTTTCGCAATAACAGCCCAAATAGTCCTCTGAAGTAACTGGATATGTTCTATATGTTTCTCAAATTGCCTTATGTTGAGATGCAACATGTTAACAATGAGCCTCTTGCAAACTTCCAGATTTCCGTAACTCCAGTTCCACAAGTCACTTGAGTAATATGTCTGTTAAGTCTCAACACTAACACAATATACAGCTGCTGATGTATATTTTTAATGAAGTTTTGCAATTTTCTGAAGTTTTTTCTTCCCCAAATGATTTTTGTGCATCTGCAAACCAATTGCATGAAGACCGATAAGGAATTTAAAACCAGATTTTTTTATTCTTCAAACACACCAGAGGTCAAATTCTGCAGTTACCAACACTGAACAATACTGATACATAAACAGACACATTACTTAACAGGGCTACTACTCACAACTGATGATTCAGTATGATCTCTTAAAGAATATTAAGATACTGCCAGTGGTGAGACAGCTGTATCTTTCATGTTTACAAGCATAACTATTTTATTTCTCCCTCACTTTGAAACTCCTTGATTTTTGTAGGGAAGAATACATCATTTTTAAAGAGCTAAAGCACAATGCAGGTCAATATATAGTTCACATAACTTGCCAGCTTTAATGGCAAAGACCAACCAAGAATTTTCTTTCTTCCTCCTCATGCCTGTACCCATCCCACAGCTTGCAACCATCTGTTATTGCATTATTTTTAATTCAGGTCACGGAGTGATCTCATTTACAATACAGCCCTGCTAACAGTTGTATCAGCACAATGAAGGGAGCGGGTATTGACAACAGGATATTGTTGATAAATATTTATTCCACTGCCAATATATACTTACCCTTTTTTTTCATATGGCCAAAGTACTTTATATGCTCATTAACTCTACCTTTCAAAACATTTCTGATTAGATAAAATTGCACTGAAGTTTTCAAATTCCTTTCCTTCTGGATTTCCAGGTGCTTTCTTATGCCAAACTCAAGATTCATCTGAATCATTTGTTAAAACTACAATTATTTAAGTAGTGCATGTCAAAAATCATAAGAGCTGCAAAAAGATCTAAATACATATGAAAATTGGGGCACTACCAGTTGTTTTTCTGAGAACCAACTATTATGTAATGGTGATTAAGTCTTTGTACTAATTAGTATATGTAAGCTCCTATTTCAACTGTTAAGTCAAAAACATACCAACTAACCAACCTTTCATCAGCTGCCTCATACACAACAACATTGTCCAATCTGATTACACACTGGTCATTATTTATCTTCTTTTTGAAAAGACTCGATTACAGAGCTCAAGATAATGAGTTCTGCTGCCTGGCTAGTTTGTGTCCAAATTGAGCAAAGAGAAGAACAAAGAAACTTTAACTTGTTAACAGATATTTTTTTTTATTCCAAATCACTATAATTCTACCACATATTGCATATACCAAATTATACCACAACCACATTAAGGTGTCATCTAGTTACAGTAAGTTACATACTGCACAGAATGGAAACTAATATTTGGTTTGGGCAGGTATTTAGTGTGAAAAGCAATAAGCTAGTAGGTTTTTTGATAGCTAAAAATTGAAATAATTACTGCACATACCAAGGACAGGTTATTTAGAAAATAAGACTCCACAATTTACACAGCGTGTCCCTCCTGAACTATAATGCATCTACCAAATACAACAGTATGAATATCCACTTTTACATGGACAAAAAGCAGCACCAATTCTAAATTCAATGTGTTAGAGAACAGATTGGAAAGAGAAAAAAATGAAGTCATGCTGTATATCAACAAAGTTATACAGAATCATAGAATCATTTAGGTTGGAAAGAGACCCTTAAGATCATCAAATCCAACCACAAGCCATGACAACTTACAAAATTTTCTAAAATCCCTTCCAAGGCTAAACTGAACTTTTATTCAGGATAAAGCAAATTGCTGACTTTAATGTGGATTCACTCAAAGAAGTTGAATAATGTTTGAATCAGAAATGCACTTTACATTTCCTCAGTTGTCCCCACTGAGAGGTCTCCCGTTCACACCACAACACAGTCTCAGAGAGAAGCACTTAGATTCTCCTCAAATGAAACTAAACTGAAAGATGCCCTCTACCTGATCCATGAGACCAGTTTACAGCTAGCCGTAAAGAAAAAACCTAAACACATATAGTGTGGGCAAACTTCTCAGCAACAACTGTTTTGCTCTACGAATCTACTCCTTTTATACCACACTTATGCTTATTAATGTAGACCACAGCCTATAGTGGCTGGCTCTCAGAAATACTTCTAACTCTCTTGGAACCTCTCCCTCATAACCCTTCTACTAACAGTCAAGGCAAAAATCAACACAACGTGCCATATGCTGGTTCCAACTAAAATGCTTTAGACTAACTCAGAACCCTGGATCAAAAGCACACACACTGTACTTTGTAAACCCAAACATACACAAGACCAGTTAGCTAATAAAAGACTGAGCAACTCACTTGTCACCACCACTACTTAGACAACCTGGGCAGAGGGAAAAGAGATCATGTAACTCATTCAGTTTCAAAAATTGTGGTGATATCTCTTAATAAAGCCAGGGTGACTAAAGACTTCCCATTGTCTATTTAATTTATAGCTAGTTATCTCTAGATCTCTACAAAGAAACATACATTTCCAGACTGTTTCATCCCCTGGTAAGCATTACTTGCATTTTACAAACAGATCTGTCATGCTACTTTTCTAAAGTGACTTCTAGCATATCTCAAGAAGAAGGATGAATATAAAGAGTTAAAAAAATACCAAAACAAAAAATAACCACCCTACCACAGGTATGACAGAAAATTCTTGGCAACCACCCAAGAGCTGTATTGAGACAGAAAACAGAATAGGGTGTCAAAATGGCCCTTCAGACTTAAACCCCACTATGAATGCCACAGAAATGAAATGATGGGAAAATGATGGGAGAGACAGGTAAGGGGCAAGCTTGAGAAAAAGCTGTTGTGTCTAGGACACCAGAAGAGATAAAAGCTTTACTGCTAAGGTACTGCACTGCAACTACTCACTGTCAGTGTCAACAAGGATGGTTTAAAAATGTTTTCATGACAATTTGAAGCTAAGCAAGAAGAACAAAACAGTGGATTTGACCATGCAGCTTTATAAAACCTTTGTTAGTAAATCCAAATGCTCTGCACCCATAAAAACCAGCACACCAAGATCAAAAAATGAGACAAATAAAAGTTTGGTTACTCACAGGAATTAGACGCAAAGTTGACAATTCTAATATATGCTCTAAAGCAGTCTGCTTACTTCGTGAAAAATTATGTACATCAGATTCTGCAGTATATTTTAAGCATGAGCCCTTACAGGTCTATGTTGGCTATAACAGCAAATTAGTACTCACACTTTGAGACATCTTTATAGGTATCTTCAGTACTATAAAACAAGGCAGCCTTTGTACTGTGTTAGTACTAGCATTTTGAGTTTAACTACAGTATATTATACTCAACTTTAATAAATACTTAGCAGTAGTTTGTTTGAATAAGTATCTTTTGATTTATAGTGCACATTTTTAATATAAGCATTCTACTGAGACAGTATGGGGGATAGATCTCTTCAGTCTTGAAACCTGTGTGTGTCAACTAGAAACAAAGTTTCCTTGAAACGCATGCAAGTTTTTTCTATTTCTTTTATTATTTTATTCAATAGCACCTTTAAATGCAACATCATAAGCCAGTTAAGAACTGTCCATTCTTTGCATCCAGAAAATATCTGGTTTCTGCACCAGCTTTGTGGAATCTCTCCATCTACCATATAGAAGTAGTTCAAGCATTGCATTAGGAAAGGTCTGACTAGCCAGAAATAGAAACAGAATTAAAAAGGTAAGTCAATGAGCATTACATAAGATTTGAAAGCACCTTAGTATTTTAGAAAAATTACATGTATGCCACATGAAGTTATTTTCTCTCTGCTCCAGCATCAAGCAGCATTATACATCCTGCTGTCTAGAAGAGCAGACTTTAGTAATAGACCCCTCATCTGAAAAATACAGAACAGTAATGGGCGTAGTCTAATAAACAGTCCATTAACCCTAAATAAAGATCAATTGATCTACAAATTTTATCACAGAGAGAATTCTGGAGTGGAAATTATTATGAAAGATGAGTATCTATGCTAAAGAGCAGCCATTTTACAGGGCTATTACCTTGTCCAGGTCTTGGGGTTGCAGATGTTCCAGCAGATGGTGGTTCTGCCTCCTGCCAATTAATTATAAATAACACTGTCTTAACATTCAGCTCCATAGTACCTTTCGTATTAAATCAGTACCAATACCAGAACACTCACCTTCACACTTGATTCTGGATCAAACCTTTCAAGGATTAATTTAGCAGTTTTGTATGTTTCCTTCTCCATTACTTCCTCAAGCTGGAAACAAAAGGTTCCACACATCAGTACAGAACTCTAAGTATTTTACCCCCATATCCTCCCATTTACAAGCAACGTAATGTTACCAAAAAGTGAAGCTCAGTCCAATGAACCAGTAGCATGTTCAGATATCTGCAGATTTGCTGTATTCAATGGAAATGAAATTTTGCTTTCAAAAATAGTTTCTAAACTCTAATGGGCCACTTGTATTTAACATCTTTATTGCAAGGAAACACCAAATATTGCTAATTGTTTACATATAATGAGGAGAATAATTACATGCACCAACTTCAATAATGGAATGTGCAAAAATCTATCAGCCATCATTATTGGAAGTTATTAGACATGACAAGCAAATGACAGGCAATTCCTTAGATTTATTTCCTCATAGCACTTAATGCTATTAATTTAAGGAAGGTCGTTAGCCAAGTGCTTTACAGAATAAAGTCTCTGTGCCAATTAACTGCTGTCAGCATCGATTTTAGATTATTTATTAGCAGAAGCAATTAGCTTGCTGCAAATGCTGTGAAAACTCACTAACTAGAGAACAGCCATGGAATTTGCACAAATGGCTTTAAAGGCTCGATCTCCATCTTTACCGCAATTCAAACTGTTTTTCAGAAAAAAGGGAACATGTTAAGAATTTAAATACAAAAATTTACTGAGAACTATGCATACTTTAGGGAGTATAATTAAAGCACTTCATTATTACAGCGTTTTATTTACAATGCACTCCAGTGGCTTTATAGCTAATGCATGGGCTTAATTAAAAAAAGTAATCACTAGTAAAGTATCATTTTAGTGGTTAACAGCCAACGTCAGAAGAAGCTTAACTTTAAAACAGTCAGTTGAAGTTATGACCAATAGCTAATACGTATAGAAATTATCATGCATTTTACAGTATCTTAAGCAGACCTTTTCTCCTAAATATGCTGACTAATGGCCATGTTCAGCTAAAAGTGGGGGTTTGTTTGTTCTTAAGTTTGCTGTTGGCATAAACTGCAAAACTGAAAAGGCCAGTGATCAAAAAATTAAGTTCTCTCAAACTCATTTATCACTGCTAAAATAACAAATGATGCACCTTAACATGACTTTTATGTCATTATTTAGCTAGTGAGAAACTAAAGTTTCAGCCATTCTGTGTATATAGACCTTGTAGGGGTTTTATCTTTAGACAGACCTCAGAAGCTAAATAAAATTCACTCAATTTAATGGATACACAGTATCCATTTAACACTCACTCCTACACTCGCTACCAGATGTTTAAAGCAAGGAATACTATCCAGGCTGTTAATTAAGGTCTGTTGAAACAAAAGGAGTGAAGAGGGAAGTAAAAATCAATTTCCTAAACTTGTATTTCAGTAGGACTTTGGAGTTAACCCACTAACTTCGTAAAACAAATGCCACACAGTGCAATAAGATCAGAATTAAGGGTCTAATAGGAAAAATAAAGTATTTATTGCTTATAAAAGTGAAAACCATAAGGCAAACCTTTATATGAAGGGATAAGGTTAGTGAGGTGAAGCTGCAAAGTGGGGAAGTGTTAACAGTAAGTGTCAATATCTGGCCCCCAAATCAAAAGAAAAATAGCCCGAGTCACTTTACATCGATGAGCATATAATGCACACAATTGGCTTTACAGCCACACAGGAAAATAAGAAATAACCTTCTGCAGGGCAAAGTGACCTTTAGGAAGAGAAAAAAAAAAAAATAGAATGCTCTACCATCACTTGACACTTCCCTTATCTAATGCACTTCTTGCTATTGCAGTGTTAGATAGGATGGTAGTTATTTGTGGATATACAAGTTTTGCAAACACAGTAACATTATTTTAAAATAGAAAAGTTTAGCTCTCATCACAAGATTCAGATGCCAAAGTTATTCTTCCCATTATATAGTTACAGGATGATTCAACAAGTTACTACTCAGATTTTGAAATTCATATGTAGCTTTATAATTCTAGCAAAGCTGGATCTGAACAAGACTTCAGTTTCACAACTGACTCTACATATTTATTGAAAATGTATAGAAATTGTGAGTGCGCTTAGACATCTTGACAGTTCTCATGGTTTCACTTCTAGGATAGATTTTTGTAAACACACTTGAATTTTGCCTGACAACACCAAATAAGTAATCAGATGGGTCAAAATTTACTTACTCTGAGCAAATCAGTATAATTACTAGAAGTAAGTAAGGGCTTGTGTAAAATTTAAATACTATCTCTAAGTTTACATAGCAGAAGAAACTGGCTTGTGCACTGCCACAGCAAGCTCATTTATAAATGCAGATCAACATACTGACTTCTGGATTATTTGCCATCCTGAAGCATAACTTTGGAAAAGTTAACCTAGTGCTGAACACTAGCTCACTAACACAGCAAGTTGCTTCACACCTCCTGCTCTTTTTCCATAAATATACTCTTCTGAGGTCCCAAACTTTTCCCACAAAAACATTTTCTACTTTCTGCCAAGGGCTAACTCAGTCTGTTATTATCATGCTTAAACATCAAGTAACCAGGATCACTAATGAAGTCTCTATGAAAGTTAATACCAGCCTAATCATTCAAACATTTCTTGGAACGAAGCACATCTTAATAAAGAAGCATGGTCATGTACCACATTCTCTCTTATGAATAATTGCATGGATGGCCTCCTTTCCAACTGGCAACCAAACAGAATTCCTGTGGCAAAGACATCAGTTGCCTATATTGAAAAGTAATACGAGTAATGTATTTTAAGCTTCTTGTAAATGCAATTTAGCAACTGGAAGTCTGAAGTATTGGCACAGTGCAAACTACTTATTTGCCATACTACCATGCAAGTTCTTAAATTGAATTACTTGGTATGTCAAACCCAACAATGGAGAGGTATTTCTTTATGTCCACACACACCCACTAGATTAATTTCAGCCTACCATGTAAGATACATCAGCACATATAGCAAAACTTTCTTTAAAATATGAAATAAATCATTTAAGCCATAATAATCAGGTGTACTCCAGGTAGATCCACGCGAACAGTAAAACAACCAAAGCAACTGCTTTGTATGAACGCTGCACGAAGGAAATCTCATTTGATCATTCATGAGTAAATATGATTAACTGTATTTTGAGTTTCTAATTGCACGTTTGCAGTAGCCTAGCATATACTGGGTAGACAAGACTACACTTATACAACAACCAGCTCCTAGTAGAGTTTTTGTCACATAACCTGATAAGGTTATCAAAATATCTATTTTTCTACACCTGGAAGGCTCAAGGTATAAAGCTCATTAAACAGTAGCTATTTTAAATAATATTTATATGCTGCGTTTTTTTTCCCCACTGTTAGCATATCTCCAAGGTGGCCTTGAAATCAGACTTTTTTTTCCTAGGAAAATTAACAGATGCAACTTTCTAAATTTTTACCTGAAACAGTTAGGAAGTCTGTCCAAGTCTAATATTACACTCAGCCTACTATAACAGAATAGCTGAGTAAACTTCAGCAAAGTTTAATTCTAACATTAGCAAAGTAATTACTATACTATCTTCACAATTCTGTCCTCGGGCTAAGAATTATCCCATCTTTAAGACTGCTCAGGTAAAGTCTCCACTAATTCCCATTTGTGGCAGCTTAATACATGTCCTGTGCCCTTGCTTTAATATGTTTAATCCTCTGAACTTGCTCATCTATACACATTCAGGCTTAATGGCTGACATCCTCATTAACTGAGAGCTCTAAAGCCAAAATTACAGCTACACAATCACAAACATAACCAGAGTATCCCTTACAATCAAGGGGAAAAAAAAGTTGTATCTTGAAGTAGTGTCTTAATTATAGCTAATGACCTTAATCCCTACCCCCAACCCATAAAGAAACATTCAAAAATAGCGCGGAGAGTTAGTTCTGCAGAAAATAAGTATTACACCAACTTTAACTCAAAGTACAGGATAGACAATATTAATGGGCATTTCTAGATGAAGTATCTATATTTGTGTTTGTCAGGTATTTTACCCACAGGAATATCCATGTGATTATGCCACCAAAGACTTTTGAACAGAACCGAAGTTCTATTGAGCAGCTCACTGGACAGCCATCAGGGCATTATATCTAGTAGATGAGGAGCTTACTCCATTACAGGTACCCTTCAGCACTTAAGTAATGTCACTAGGGAAAAGGTGGATCACATGCTAGTAAAACACAAGAACTGTAATATTTTTCAAAAGGACAATTGTCTTCAAGATTTCCCCAGCAATCGGGTAGTTGAGCTGCAATGAAGTGAGAAACCATAGCTGTTGTTGCAGGTTGACGGTACCTAGACAGCAATTTGCATTACAAATGAACAGGAAATAGATAATTTATCCCAGATACTTTGAGGATCACAATGTAAATATCTTAATAACTAATCCTATTTGCAAGCTCAGTAGCAAATCAGAATTCAACAGGGGGAAAAAAAAAATCCTCCCCCCTTCCCATTATTTTACTTAGTAAAGGTTTTTGGTTTGTTCTACTAAAAAGTAGATGTTGCTGCAGTTATTCATAGCCACAGACAGTCCTAAGAAACTTAATCCAAAACAAAACCAATTTTGAATTATTACCAGAACCAAATCTCTACAGAAAGCAATTTTTTTTATGAGTAGTTTTTTTCTAAAATACAAATTATATTCTGTCATTACCTGCATCCATTTTCAGCTCATTTCAACATGCTAAGTTTCATGTCTGATGATCTAATTTTAATGCTTAATTGAATATCTTTACATTATGATGAAAATTCCAAGTCAATCTTCTGAGTAAAAAATACCAACACCATGCTGATTGAAGAGGTTGCATTAGGTCTTCTGTTTCCGGTTCCTTGCTAGGAACCAGGCACCCACAAGATCAAGAGATAATCACAGACTTTTTATTCCCCTCAGATTGAAAAATAGCTGAGTTACAGGTTATTAAATTTCCCAGAACTTTTTCGCTAATACTATTTAGCAGTTTGTCTTTAATGATTAAAGTTTGACATGCATATATACTAATAGCAATTTATATTTCCAGATTTAAACTCTCCATAGTTACACTATAATTTCTACATTGTTCACAAAGTATTCATACAATAGTTGAATTTGTAACTACTGCCTGCTCTTCTGCAATATGTGGGATTTTTTCACATACGCAAAACACACATTTACATCCTTTTGAAATAGCAGCAAATCTCAAAGTAAAAAAACCTCCCCTTTATAAAACAGCTTTTTCCCCAACTAATCAATTCAATGCCTTGTCTCTGAAGAAGTGCTTCTCACACAAAAAAAAACCCTCAGCATTACTAGTTCTTCCAGAATAAAAAAATTAAGATTCTCATGATTACAGAAAAATAAATGTAAACTGAAATTCAGGCTTTAAAGACTCCGAAAGCTGCTGTGTTCTCCATTATGCTTTTTCTGTTCCAAGAACTTTATTTCCAAATCTACACAATGACTTTGTAAATTGCAGAGATTAGTTAATTTCAGTTAAGCAATTTTCATAAAATAAAATTAAAAACATAATTGTCATAGTCATTATTTCATTCTCTCAGAAAGCATAAGCCTACCCAACTTAAGGATACTTCCATTTAATAGATTCCTTAATATAAAGATTATCAGATATAAATATTAGTAAATCCTCTTTAACAAAGGACAATGACATAATTAGGCTACAGGTTATCATTTTTCTATCTACACTTCAAAAGTAATAAAAAAACCTGAGTGGAATATCAGTAAAATCTGTTTCCCCTGTAAAGGCCATACAGTACCAGATACTTACCTGACTCCTTTTTGGTAGCTTTATTGTGGGTTTTCTATTAATTTAGATACCATGGCAAAATCCAGAATGCATGAGGTGAACACTTTGGGAAACTCATCAACAATAAAGCCTCAGAATACAACTTTTGAAGGTTTTTTAGGGGGGGAGGAGGGGTTGTTTAGGGGTGAGACAGGGGGAGGTGTTTGGCTTTTGGTTGATTGGGGGTTTTTTGTGTTTTAGGGGGTGGAGGGTGTTAAGTTTTGCCTTACAAGGCAGAAGATGAAGCCAACAACATAAATAAACAGATAACATCCTTATGGAATGATTAAGTAGAGAAGAAACAGCTTGCAGTGTTACAAACTTCACAAGGAATTAAAGTTATCCAAGATTTGGAATCTTTACCTCAGTAAGACAAATTTAGGATGGTAAAGTGTTGATCCAGTTGAAGCAAAACCCTGGCATACACACCAGTTTTATACTGTTAACTCATCCACATAGCTCAAAATAGATGACCTCAAGATAACTGATAGAATTGATACACGATGAGATTAATTTTAGAGGAAAGAATGTAATAGAAGAAATATGCAGTACAAAAATAAGATTGAGAAGGATGCATTTAAGATATAAGCAATAATCTGTTACTTGATGAAAAAGTGAATCCAGACAAGATGGAAGTCCTTTTTGCTATTTATGAACAAGACATTAAGTGACAGAGTAACCATTAAAGATAAGTGCATTCTATGTTCTTAAACCAGTGCAACATCTAACTTTATTTATAATCCTAAAGTAAAACAAGTAGTCACCAACAAGTAGGTTAAGGCATACATTTTCATCTTCTTACACAACATAATCGCTTTAGATCTAGCAACACTAGAACAGTAGGTTTAAGTTACACTACAAAGAGACAATTTATTCTCATATGCAAGCTGTCCTTTGTAATTTTTGGGTAAGAAAAACCTTGTGTGGTACTATAAAATGTATGAAAACAGAGGAATGGTAATAGTTTTGTCTCCCTCTGCTCTTCATCTATATATTACAATCAAACTCAACCTGTAGAGACACAAAAACACTTTAGTGGACCACAACAACTAACTTTTCTTGAAGTTTTACTTACTATTTTTTTCTTTTGAGATTTTAAATCTTCCAGTGCATCATCTAAAAGAAGGACATCATACATTAGTTTTCAAATATAAATAAAAGTTTCAGCAGACTCTAAACATTGACTTCGCTCTGTGAGATCAGGAAAAATTATGCATTGACCACTACCAACTCTACAAAATTAGTAAACTTTGCGCAAAATAACTAAAGCTTTTATGTGAAAATAAATCATTTTAAATGTTGAAACAGCTTATAAATTATAGCCAGCTTATCACTTTACAGTTGTAACTATTTAAAAGTTTTATGTACCATTTCCTTATTAAGCAAACCAATTCTAGTCAGTGCCCTGCTTTGACCTATATTAAAACTGGTACAACAATGGACCAAATACACTTAATCTCAAGTCAAACTACAGAAAAAAGCTTGATGTCTAAGTATTAATGTATCTGAGTACCAGATTTGCTGGCTTCAGTATTTCACATAAGCCTCTTAACACATGCTAGTTTCAAATGCCAGGTCAATTCTGAGCTTCAAATCTCAATCTATTTCACCTTTTCAGTACTTCCAGATGACCGCCAAAATCTCAGTTTTATAAGAAAAGCTATTAGAAGGTCATTTTACTATTAAATGTTAAGAAACTGTTACAACTAGTAGGCACAGCATCTAACCTCTCTAAAAGGAAGGGAAAGGTCAAATACACATGGGATTTCCCTTTAAGTCAATGCTTGCAGCTTGACACTCATGGAAACTCTCAATAATAAACTATCACCTAATACAGATATTCTCTTGATAAATCTATTTTCTACTACCTCTTTCACAGCAAGAAGAGTTTAACACAAATCTTTAACTTTTTTCCCTTCCCAGTTCTATTATACACCAGCTTACTTCCTGTAAGATATAGCTACTTTTACCCTTTTTTTAGTTTTCAATAAAAGAAAAAGCTTCATGGAACTACAAGAAACAGAAGCAAAACCCAAATAAGTTAAATAAATATGCTATCCACACTTTTTAAAGTTACTTCAGGAACATTATTGTTACTTGAAATTAGGGAAACGTGTAATTGCTTTAACTTTTCCAGAATGTAGAAATCCATTTTGATAAACCACTTTATTAAAGGTACAACATAGTAGAACTGAGCATGTATATATTTGAAATCTTATACAATGAAAGGGTAACTACAGCAATCCCTTATTAGTTAAGACAAACAGGACATGGAATAAGACCATATTTAGCACTGGGCTGGACCACAGCAAATGGAGAATCCCAGAAATTGTGCATCTTCAAATTAATAAGGTACCTCCCTCCACGAAATTTTACATTTGTATTAGAACACAGCCTTTCATGTAGCTCTACACAGATTAACACCTTGAAATGCACTGCAGTGCGGTATGATATCAGGCAGCCGAACAAACAGCACAATACAGACAGCTGTTAACAGTTAATGAAACAAAAGCTGCTTTGGTACAGAAATGCCTTGAACATCTTCAATCTTAGCCTCCCACAAAAGCAGTACAATCAGTTTACAGTCTGGGCATTTGTTTCTGATCACTTTACCTCCCATGTTCAAAAGAATCTCAGGAAATACCTGCCCCTTCAAATGTAGCCAAATGGCAATTACTGCAAAGTACTCTCAAGAAACCAATCTATCTCATCTTAATTAAATGTACAGAAAAGAATTCATACTAGAGAAGTCAATACCTTCAAGATACCTCATTTATTTTCTCCACACATTGGGACAGATCAGCCTAAATCTTCCTCAACAGTTGTTTGCCTGATCAGTCTTAAAAACTGAAATTCCATAATCTCTCTACATCACCTTTCCTAGTGTCTCACTAGGAATTTTCATCATTCAAAGCATGGTTCCCAAAATGGATGTATGCTGGTTATCCAGCTGAATAATGAAAATATAGATGAAATAATCATCTCCAGTGACTCAATGTGTTACATTAACTTATCCCAGAATAACAGTTTAGCTTTGAGTTACTCAGCTGGCATTTTGCTCTCTCAGCTACGTTTTCTCCTGCTTTTCTGCTGTAACTCTTACACTGCACATCTGATTTCTCTTTTCCAAATACAGGACTTGTATCTTTGAGGTAGAACATTTCTACCTGATCTCTGGAACAATGGAGAAATAATTCCTTTTGGCATGTTCTAACATCTACTAAAACCCTTTATACACAGGTTCAACAAAAGCACTAGTCTTGCTTGTATGCTGAAAACATCAATAAAAACATTTAAGCAAACTAGAAAAACATACATACTTTTTTTTCTTATCCAGACATGAAATGCAAATATATATTTGCCCTAGAAATGAATCATACAGCACCACAGAATATATGGACAATTTTATTTCTACATAAAAATGTATGTCCTATGCTTGCATATCAAATGCAAACATTAAGTTTAAGAAAAATTCCAAAAGGGATGTTTAACTCTTAAGCTGTCACAAATTAAATACATCATGCTGTTTTCCAAGTCATAAAACACAGTGCAACATCGAGGTTTTCCTGTATTACTGCTCACATCACCATGAGATATTGTTAGAGGCTGGACTGCTTTCAAAGAAAGTCTCAAATGAATTCTAACTACTGCAGACAAGTGCAACAGATGCAGTTTTCGAATTTTGTGTTAGAATGAATCTGCATGTTAACAACTTTTTTTATACATATTTGTACATCTACATTATTTTTTGTTTCGTTACATGACTCCCCATTTTCCTTAGCTCTCAAAACAGCACATACACACCTGCTTATCCCTTTTCCACTCAGGAAAACATAAGCATGCTTTGGAGAATTTGAGAGAGAAAAGATACCTTGACAAACACATCTGCTATAAATCTCTTATCTTGTATGTAAATATAACAGATTAAGACTGCTGGAATACTTGCAAGATGCAAGCATTAAGGGAACTACTACTGTTGTTTACATTCCCTTCCCCTCACTCCTACTTCTACACTGCATTCTATTCCAGTACACTTTGAAGCATGCAAAGACAGGAGAAGGTTACCACAATTTTGGAAGTGAAGTGAAAGATTAAGCAGTTTCCTTCCCATTCTTTCAAGAATTACCTGTTAGAAACAATAGTTTAGCTAATGCTACTCATTTCAGCATAAATCAAAAGGCTATTCTTCTCTTCCTGGAAGCCAAATTATCCAAAACTTTTACATTTTCACAGCAAGCATCATTCCCAACTAGTTCCATATTCTAAAAAAAAAAAAAAAAAAAAAGACAGAAAAAAATACTTACTATTCCTTTCTGTCCTTTTGGAAAAGAAAAAAATGAGCAGTGTTCTTATAAACCAGATTCTTTAAAACAGAAAGAAGAATTATATTAATTAAAATATATTACAGTAACAATTTCTGAAGTCATTTAGCAAGCAGAAGACTTAACAGATGAGATTTAACTTTGCAAATACAAAGAATAGAAATCTTCAAACAATATTTATACAGAAAACTAAAAATTAAATTAGTACCTTGTCAACAAGACATCAACAATGATCTAAAAATCCTCCCATTAAAATTTAACCAAGTATTACTATAGGTAGAAATACTAAGGAAACAGCAGCAAGTAACATTGCTCGCTAAAATGTTCAATGCGAACTTTTTAAAATCAGAGTATGTGCAGCTAGCTGAAAATTACTTAGTCATCACTTCTTATTTGATAGATTTATGATGTATGTTATCCAGAAAACCAAGCTTACCAGCTAAGGCCCAAAATTAAGACCCGGGAGATTTGTGAGAAGAATTCAATACCAGTGAAAGCCCTGAGATACAGCTCTCCCAAGCAGAGTTAACTGACCTGACTCCTGGAGATTTTACGGAGCTCTGAATCCACTCAGTTTCTGCAGGGTTTCAGCTGACTTAGCTCAAACAATGGAGCAGTTCATCTGTGCTCAAGATAAACTGATCTATGAGCACTTTACATTTGAAAGGTCTCTCTGCAATCATCAGGAGGGACTTCATTTGTTTTAAAGCTTAGAATTGCTTATAATTATTAAATTGACACTTTTCCTGGCAAGTTATTTGACCTAAACCAAAGGGCAAATCTCACACTTCAAGCCCTTCCAAGCATTTTATCCAAAACTGTCCTAGTGCCAAGTACTGTATAATAAAGTGGTAATGTTTCATTTAAGAAAAACATATTCTTAAAGGCTAGAAAGGTTCTCTGAATAGCAGCTAGTGTAAGAAAGCAGGTAAAAGGCTGTAAGATTTCAAATAGAGTTTCGACTTATAAAAAAATCTTGCATTTACATAATGGCTGCCCAGTTTAAAATGCTTTCAAGTATTGAAAACACAATCTGACTTAGGTTAGTTCAACAAGACAACTGGAATGCCAGAGTAACCTAACCAAGGTCAGAGAAACAGAGAAAGAAGTTTATTCCACGTTCAAAGGTTTGCTGTAATAACTTCTCTAAAAATACAGATGACTTTGCCTGCTTACACAATCCAAGATGTCTCTCTTCATAAAGTATCAAAAGAAATAATTATTTAAGGCAATTCAAACCCTGCAAGACTACGTTACAGAACCAAAAGCATTATTTCTTTTTTACTGTATACTTAATAAAAAGTCTTCTACCTAAAGCTGTATTCTAAGCTAATAGACATATGGTAGGACTTCAAGAAATAAAATCATTTCCTCTTTAAAAGCTTTAAGGTGAAAGTTTAATAGCAGACCATTTCAGACCAACTATACAAAATAAAAACATATTTCTCTGAAAATCAGAACATGCAAGATGAAACAGTACTTAATACAAATGAAAAACATTTCAAGAGCAGCATCCTTCTAACATGCTAATATATTTCTTCAACTTTTCAGATATTTCAATATACATTTAATATTAATGACGTTATATATTCCTAGAACTTAACTCACTCTACCAGCATCAGTAACTTGCTGAGACCCTGAGGGAATGACCTAAGGCACAAATAAGTTGGTGACTGACTGCAAGCTGGAAAAGGCAGACATATTCCAGCTTGATTAGGGCTGAAAAATCTCTAGAGCTACTACAGGGTGGCACCAGGCATTCAGCATGGAGTCACCTCTTGACCGAGAACAAAGACAAGCTGGCAGTTGCTTGCCATTCATATCTGCCAAAAAAAGCTGAAGGGGAATAGCTTAAGGGAAAAATCAGATAAACAGTTGCAAGTCATAAAACAACAACAGTGTAATTCTAAATGTTAGTAAACTGATATCCAATTCAGAATTTTATAGAAACCCACCTTAAAAAAGACAAGAATTGGAGGATAAACTAGAGAATAAAAATCCTATGTGAAAATTCACACCACAGCACTAGAAACCATCACCTTCAGTAATAAAAGTTTTCATTTCTACACTAATCCTAATACACCTAAGTGAAAGGAGGCTGGTAATACTACTACTTCTACAAGCCTTCCCTGTTTGCATGATCAAGCCTTGCATGCTAACGGAGACTTTCAAATCCTGGTCCTTAAGAACAAAATCAATGCATATTGTTGCCAACGATTAATTTGATCTTTAATTCCTATATTAATCTGTTCTAGTCGAGCTATTGCTGCCCAAGTATCTTCTCCACAAGATTCCATAACAGCAGCATATTAGTCATTATGCATAACAGTATAATGTACAAAAAGGATCTTCAAGTATTTTTTTTGCACCTTATGTTATGCTGACCCACACTAAACAAACTTGTAAAGCCTTAAATATTTACATTTGACTTTGCCTTTGAAATCTAAAGCTAGGGCACTAACTAGTCATGTTTTCATACAAAGATGCTGTACAAATACAGACAGTTTTTATGATGTTCATTTCAGCAAATTAATAAATGCACTGTGCTCCCCATCAGTAGAAAAGATGCTCAGTAAGCCACTTCTCCTCCACAATGGCTTGTTAGAAAACAAAAGCCAGTTGTGAGGATGAGCAGCCAATTAGATCAGTAGACCAAAAAAGTAGACAATACCTTGCTCCTACTCACATCCAATGATGTGAGGATATTTTTCTGGCTGAAGAAAACAGTCAATAATTTTCCAGAACAACAGCTAATTATGTAAAATGTCCTCAACATATTTAGGTTGATGACCTTTCAAGTCACTTCTGCATTAACAGTCACCTAATATGTAAAAGTTTCTCCATTCATTCTTGAATTTTTTTTTTTCCCCAATTTTATACATTGCATTTTACATACAGGCAACATAGCTTAGGTCACTTTCATGTAACTGGTGTTACTTTTCCAAATAGTAATATAAATAAAACCCAAGATAATGTTCTTCTGCTTATATTACATTAACTTGCAGCTGTTCAGATACACATCTCCCTCTAGCCGAAGTATAATTTTGATAAGCCAAGTAAGTGTAGACTAACATCTTTTGATGGTAAGACCTAGTTCCACACTAAACCCAGACCCATGAGAGACACTTCCCTCAAAGAAAGTATCTGCCTAACTACTTGGATTTATTTTAAAAGAAAAAAATTCAGCAAGTTATGACAACTCAAGGATTGTCAAAAGCAAACCCAAACCCCTGCTGAGATGTATTTTCCATCTCCTTTTATCAAAGAGACAGCAGTTCGGGGAAAAAAAAGGGCGTATTTACTCACATCAATGGAAATGCAAAAAATGGAAGTGTCATAATCAACCTTGCTGTCCATTCATCAGGAAGACACCAGAAATATACAATTAAGCAGGTGATAAGGTAAAGAAGTGAAGAGTAGAGAAGCAGCCTTCCAACCCATAGTTTCTGTAGCCTCTGATTTTTTTCTCTAAATTCTTCTAATGTCTGTATTTCCTGTAAATAAATAGGGTTTAACCTTATTAGTGAAATTAATAAGTGGTTTTACTACACTGCCTTTAAGTGTTTGCTAAAATTAACCATATCAATTTGATACTTTATTAGAAAAGTCAAGCAGTTTTTTGATAAATGACAATATCTGCTGAAAGTTTTCATAGCAAAAATACATCACACTATTAAGGTTATGATATGGGACACTTGCACTGTATAAGCAGTAACACAGCTATTGGGAAGAAATATTACAAATAAGCACTTTTTCCTGTTCATAATGCATTAGTATATTTGCAACAAGTGGGAAAAGCTAGTGTTTTATGAATAGCAGTCTTTACAACCACATAAATCACCAGCAACCATACTTCACATCCTAAAACTTTCATCAGACACCTGTGGAATTTCAAACACTTCTAGTACTTTTCTACTAACATGGGAAATTGATGAAAGCTCTCCATCATTTCACATGTTTTAATTTCAGTATTTTCCTCATATTAGGAGTGAAATCCTGAATATCTGAATGATGCTTTGGGCACATTAATAAGCGATCAAGCAATGCTCTGCTATGTTATCATTTTGACTGCATTTCAGGTGACAACACAAATACTCAGACTTTCATTAAAAGGAAAACAAAAAAATATCAACAGCATATTTCAAAACTGTTAATTTCCCCATAGAGTACAGACATCTGTCACAAACACTGGCTAAAAATCACAATTGATTACTGAACCATCTATGCAGTTATTCTGCCCCGACCTTACTTACTACCACTACAGTTACAACTCCTATGCTTAAAAACATACATTGAAGCTTTTCTAATGAGCCTGATGAATGGAACTTTGCATTAGGGACATTTTCCATTACATGGAAGTTTAAACATTAGTTATAATTAAATTGTGCAATCAAGCCAACTTCACATTCATTTCTATTTCAAGCTCTCTAAATAAATATTTAAACTGTAGTTTCTCAGTATTATACAGTATGGGGTTTTTTTAAATGACTAATAGTAAGGGGGGAAAAAAGGTAGCAATCTCTCAAACTCAAAATCTCTAGTACATCCAACTAGAATAATCAAAAATTTTAATTCCATTACAGTATTTTACCTAATGTGAAAGAAAAAACATGGCCAGCAAAAAGTATTCATTTTTCTAAATAGAAATTAAACAAAACACCAAAAAGCAAATACATACCTTATCAATTTTTTCTAATACTTCTACAGTGGAAGGCTTTGCCTGCTTACAAGGGAAAGAACAAAGAGGTAATCTCACTAAAAAAAGTCATTATTTTGAAGATTACTGTACATTAAGTTTTCTAACAAGATGACATTCATAATAGATTAATATATTATCTATTTTACATAAAGGTAAGAAATTTTCCTACTTTAATAGTGACAAACAGAAGGGACCGTAATGAATCACTATTTTACAGTTGGTATTTCTATTAACTGGACACTCCTCTCCCACACCACAAAAGATGAAAACCTATAAACATGTACAACAGTGGATGCATGGGTGTGAAATAAAACAAGGAGAGAATCGACAAGTGGAGGGAATAGGCAAAACAAACAGAATATATACAGGAAGCCCTAAACTGAGAACCTAAGCTTTTTATTACTATCCGTTCCACACAAAGACACATGCTCTAAATAAATTATAAGCAACTGCAAATAAGTGTTATCACCTCCAGTAAAATTCCCCTTAGGAGTAATTCTGAATCCACCTTCTAGGAATTTCTTAATGTCTGAGAAGTATAAAGTCACCATCTTCCCCCACCCTTCAGGCCACAAATTCCAAAACCATAGCCCACACTGCATCACCATGAAAGTGAATTTCCTTCTATTACACAAAACTGACATTTCACCTAAACTTTTACCTTTAAAGGAGTTTTGTATATGAGGCTCTGAAACCAATCGATAATATGTAAATGCAAACCTAGATTCAAACAACTTGTACCTGCCAGGAAAGCAACCAAAAACCTCATGCTTCTTCCTCATAAACTCAGTATACCATTCAATAATATACAAGCCAATAAAAACAGGAAGAAAGACCTCATAGAATCATAGAATGATTTGGGTTGGAAGGTACCTTAAAGATCATCCAGTTCCATCCCCCCTGCCATGGGCAGGGACACCTTCCACCAGACCAGGCTGCTCAAAGCCCCGTCCAACCTGGCCCTGAGCCCTTCCAGGGAGGGAGCAGCCACAGCTGATCTGGGCACCCTGTGCCAGGGTCTCACCACCCTCAGAGGAAAGAATTTATTCCTTATAGCTAACCTGAATCTACCCTCTTTCAGTTTAAAACTCTTACCCCTCATCCTATCCTTAACACCCCCTGATAAAAGAGTCCCTCCCCATCTTTCCTGCAGGCCCCCTTTAAGGACCAGAAGGCCACTATAAGGTCTCCCTGGAGCCCTCTCTTCTCCAGGCTAATATAGGTTTAACTGACTTTCATAGGTGTAAGTAGCTACCAAGATATTGAGACACAGAATAATATTCTGAATGTATCCATTTTGACCCAAAGTAACCAAACCAGTCTTTCAAGTCACATATGCTGCTATATCTATCCCAATGAAGCACCCCAAAACTATTTAGATTTACAGGAAGAGTTAAAACTGTTTTTACAAGTTAACCAAACCAGTGCCAGGCCTGGTACTGCAACGGAAGTAAAGGACAGCCACACAGTTTCACAGTTTAGGGATTTGGCTGAGAGTATTTTTGGTCATTATGTCTCACTATTGGTCTTTTAAGTGACATATTAGTGGAAAAAGTTTAGCACTAACATTCAGCCACCATTAACAGTCAACCAACAGGTATTAAAAAACATGTCCTGCATACTCTCACCCTCTAGAGTAAGATTATTATGTTGTTACACAATTTTACTTACCCGCCATCTTGATATTAATCCACCCATCTTCTATTATGGACAAATGTTGGCAGAGCTATCAATCTTCTACAGGAATTCACAGCTAGAAGTGAAGCATTAGGCACTTAGGAGCAATCTAACAGCATAGTCCACGATTCACAAGTTTATTCCAATATCTAAAGGAATCAAAGTATCACATAAGGCCATTGCCTAGTTATGTACCTATACATTACTTTTAAATCTAGTCTTCTGTTCTATAGGCCATCTTTTAAGTCAGTTGATCAGCCCTGATGTAGCCAAACTTATTTTCACTTTGGAAATATTTAACCAGAGGGGAGTCCTCAAAAATAGAGGCACAAAATAACTAATAACTGCCCTGCCAGCAAAATGCTCCAGCGGAAAACAATTTTTTAAATTTATTATTACCCAAGATTATTCAAGAAACTTATTTCCAATTATTTCCTCTGCTGCTCATAAGCAACTCTTAATATTCCTTTTCAGTTGTCATTCCAGGCATTCAGCATTACTATCCATGAACTATTACTATTCATGAAAAAGTTCATCTCCAGTGAATCTACTTCCTTTTCATGCTCTCATCAACAAGAACGCATTGGATAGCACCATTGTTCTTCCTTTGTATGATCAGGTTTAAGTTCAAATAAACCATTTCAAAGAGATTTCACTTGCTCTAGGAAAGCATTACGTTGGGAGGTCTTCCCTGCACACAACGCACAGTGCAGTCATTGGCACATCAAATGGCCCTAAAGCAACTCCAAAGGTGAAAAAGTAGCTTCACCTCACCCTACACAAACCTACAACGCACAAACAGTACTAATTTGATGACCTGGGTCTAGGTTCATAAAAAAAAAAAAGCATAGCAACTTTCCATCAGCAGGTAGTTGGAATCAGTTGACTTTGAACCTTAGGATGGCAGAACTTCTCTCCAGTCAATTTACAAGTTTTTACCCAGAGATCAAAAAGTGATCAGTTTATAGCAACCCCAACAGTAAACTAAAGCTCAACCCCAATTAGGGCTCAAAGGATTTAAACAGTAAGACTTATTAAAACAAAGCACTGGTCCACTTAGGCAGAAATATCAGTGATTATTATCTTATTAGGTTACCTTTGGCCAAACATTGAGAAATAAATAAACCTAATGTCAATCCAAATTTGTTGCCAAATTGTCTGAGGCTGTCAAAACAAATTAACATAGTACAGGATACACATTGCTCACTAGCACAAATGCTACTGTAGCATGGTAAACTCTTCACCTTTTAAGAAAGCCAAGAACTCCAGAACCCAGAACTATAGGCACTATGATTTCAAAAAGCAATCCTTAAAGATAAGGAAATCAGTATTTGAAATGCTGCCAAAATGAAGCTAGAACAGATGGACAAATTAGCTCTGCTGCTGCCAAATTACTAGCACAAAGGGGGAAGCTACAGAAAAAGCACAATTACCCCTTGGACTCGTGAATAAATTCTCAAAATAATCACTACTACAGCAACTCACCTCAGTAAAATAGCACCAATATTTTCATTTTTCAATAACGCAATCTAACACTGAGAATTTGATTCAATTGTCACTTTGCAGTTACAGGCAAGCTTTTACATGACAGGTATTGCAGTAGATCTGAGCAGACACTTTCTCTGCAAATATTTCTAGACAGATAGTATCTTTATTGCAAAAAAATACAAAAACTATGTCAAATAGCCAATCAAGAAGTTTGCAAACTTAGCACACGGTCCCCAAATCTACTCTGCTTCCCTAGCATTGTCACTGCTCTTAGGAGCAACAGTAGCTCTCAGTTGTGGAGATGCTCATGCAGTCTTTTCATATGCCATTTTCCTTCAGGTCATAGTTTGGGAACCTCTGCAGTAGAAGCGTTAGAGGATTTTTTGGCACAGGTTATCCATGAGCCATTGGTGACACCAACCTTTGTCAATTACACATTCACAGTGCTATCTCTACATATGTTTTATAAAATATCTGGCAAATACCTGGAAGAGAAACAGGTTTGACAAGTGTCACCGTGCACATAATTTTACATGAACTACGATGCTGACAGGCTTTACATATGCTGCTCTGCAAGTCAGTAATACCACCAAAACCCTTCTCCAAAGAGGTATTAAGGGATTAGGGCCACTAGATTCACATTTACCATTTAGTCACCAAATCCTTAGTTAGGAGATAGAGAATTTTCTATGGTTTCCATGAAGTCCCTCAGCTGTTTTCCTTCCCTCCTTCTCTTCTTTTTGACATGACAACACAAATGGTCTTCAACTGCTTCAAACTCTCCTTGTTCCTCCTCACCTGCCAGTCCACATACCTACCACTAATATCCTGCTGTTCAAGGTAAGAGTCCTCTTTCCACAAGTCTCCTTCCCTCCCATGCTCTAAGCATCAAGATACTGTACAGTACTTTTTCCTGCTGAAGACTGTATTTCTTTAGCACAGACCTTTCCTTTCCACTCACTGAACACTGCTGAAATGGGACTCGATTCCACATTATCACTAATTTTATAGACAAATAAGATAGCTGCAACATTTCCTTGTGCTAGGCTTAAAAGAGACAAGTGTTAAAACACACTTAATGTAGAAGCTTAAGAAAACACTACTACCAATTTTATAACCCAACTCTCCAAAAAAAAATATTAATTTCCTGATAGCATCTCATCTACTCCAAAAATACGCAATTAAATTAGTAAAAAGAAAAGCAAAAGTGTCATGGTAAAAGAACAGAAGTTTCTCTTTGAAAGAGGGATGAATCATGCACAATTACAGAAGTCATCTACCAACCTATTCATCCAGATGGGAAAAACAGTTTGATGACCTCATCACACTCTATCAAGTCAGTCCCAAATTTCTTCAACCCTGTTGTTGATATTTTAAGAATAAAAGCTCTCCAGAAAACTCAAAGTCTCCAAAATAAATTTCAATAACTGACATGCTGAAATCCAAAATGAAGTAACATCAAGACAAGTCATATTAAAAGAAAAAAGTAAGTTCAAAACTTGAAATCAAGGCTTTCCATATAGACATATAGACCCTTCCCTCAAAAGGAAGAATGATCTTTAAATGAGGGGGTTTGTAAACTTAGTGGTTTCATTTTATGTAAATATTTTCAGATATTTACCATTACAAAGAGTACAAGTTCTACCTTTCAAATTGAATCTCCAGTTCTGCTCATGAAGTTTCCACACAAAATTCAGTGATCTCAGAAACTTCCACCGTGACCATAAAAAGTTCCTCCAGCTATGAGCGCCACGGACAAGGAAAGAAGCAAAACAACACCAGAAGCATCACCCACCTCCTACTGCTAGCCTGTCCTAGCACTCTCAGTTGAAGCAAAATACTGAATCTACTTCAAGTTCAATTTAATTTTCTGCTGTTTCTGTTCAGAAGCATCCTATGGAGGTCCTCTCCCTTGCAAAGCCCTGATTAAAAAGGCAAAACAGTTCCCACACGGAGACTCCAAAGCGACGGAGCAAGGAGTGGGTGGGTCAGGCGCTTTTTTTGAAGCCCAGCCTTGTTTTGAAGCATGCGAGAGCAACCGCCAGCCCGGGAAGCGAGCCCGAGGGCCGGTCGGCGGGGAGGCCGCGGCCGAGCTCGGCCTCGGCTCCCGCCACCAGCCCCTCGGCAACCGCCCCGCCTCCGCAGCGGCCCCGCTTCCGGGGAGCGGGAGGGCGGGCGGGGAAGACGCCCACCGCCTCCTCCCCACACCGCTCGGCCTCCTCTCCCGAGGCTGCGCCCCGGCCCGCCGCCGCCCCGCGCCCCAGCAACCGCCCGGCTGCCCGCGGCGAGGCGGGAGAGAGCGGCCGCCCGCCCTGCTCCGTCTCAGCCCCCGGGGACGCGGGGCCCGAGACGGGTCACGGGCAGAGCCGAGCAGCCCCTCTCGCGGCAGAGCCAGGCCCCACCGCGGAGCCGCTCAGGGCTGGGCTGGGCTGGGCTGTGCTGGGCCGGGCCGCTCCTCCCCCGACAGCGCGTACCTGCCGCGGCCCGGGCCGCGCATACCGCCGCCGCCGCCCGCGGGAGGAGGGGCCCAGCCGCCCGGGCGACGCTCCCATCAGGCCCCGCGCGGCCCCGGCAGCCAATCAGCGCCTACTCGCCGCGGGGCGCGCTGGCACGGGGGCGGGGCCGGGCTGCTGCGCGGGGCGGGGGCGGTGGCGGTGGCGGCGGCAGCGGGGCCGGGTCCGAGTCCGGGCAGCCCCGGGCCGGGTCCGGTCCGTGTGGTAGTTCCCAGCTGCCCCGCGCAGCCCAGCGCGGTACCCCGGCGGGGCTGCGCTGAGCCAAGTCGAAACGTGCGGGTGTCAGAGGCGGTCCCCGCCGGCGGGGCTGGCGAGCCCGAGCCCGTCTTCCTGCGGCCCTCTCTAATGCCTACGTACAGAAAAAAAAGTGATTTAACACTAAAACCTGGGAACGCGGGGGTCAGCCTGTCGCGTACAGGTTTGCAGCGGCCTCCTGACACCCGCGTCCAACCCCCGCCGGCGGGGCGGGCCCGGGGACGGGAGCGCTTTCCCCGCGGCGGGCGCTGGAGCCGCCTCAGGGCCGCGGCAGGTGTCTCTCACTTTGTTTGGAGAGAAGCAGCACTGCACGTCTTTCGTTTATATCGCTGCAATAACGGTGCCCTCTCTCTTGGTGCTCTACTCTGTTCTCTTAGGTGGTGTCTCTTCTTGGCCGACACCTGTCATCGCCTGTGCCGTGCCGAGAGGACTGAGCAAGAGAGAATGCTTCCTCTGGTTGCACAGTCTCTCACAAAGGGCTTCAGCGCCCTGCTCAGAAGATTTACCGCTGCGGCTACACAACTGGGAGCACGTGCACAGATGTGGAAGCAAGTCCTTCAGAGAGCCCTGGAGTGGAAATTCCTATGCGGAAGCTGTATACCTTCAGCTGCCCCTGCATTGTTGAACCTCTATGTAGCAATGCATCATAACACAGCCTTTAAATGTTGGGGTTTTTCCAACCGTGGTGGGTTGACCCTGGCCAGCAGGTAAACACCCACCCAGCCTGCTGCTCACTGCCCCCTCAGCAGGGTGGGGGAGGGACTAGGAAGAGTAAAGGGAAGAAAGCCTGTGGATTGGTTTAAAAGAGAATTTAGTAAGTGAAAGAAAGAAAAAAAGTGATGCAAGGGAAATAACTCACCACCTCCCACAAGCAGACAGATGCCCAGCCAGTCTTTGAGCAACTGGCTCCCTTGGAAGACAAAACTCCCTACCTTCTTATTCTGCTACTACAGTTTTATTGCTGAGCCTGATGTTATATGCTATGGAATATCCCTTTGGCCAGTTTGGGTCTTTCTGTCCTGGCTGTTTCCCATCCCAACTTCTTGCCCACCCCCAGCCTACTCACTAAGGGAGCATGAAAATGAGAAAGCCTTGGCACTCTGCAAGTATTGTTCAGCAATGGTCAAAACATTGCTGTTACCAGCGCTGGTTTCGTCGCAGAATCTGAAACGCAGCAGCAGATGGGCTGCTATGAAGAAAACAAACTCCATCCCACCCTGACCCAGTGCATCAATTTTTAAAAAGAATTCAAATCCAAACAGAATAGGCAACGCTTTTAGGTCTAGCATAGTATCCACTTAAAATAAACTCAAATAATGATGCCATATTTAAAGGCTTTTTCAAATGCTGCAGCCAATACCAGCATCTCCAAGAAGATTCTCCCTTTTTTTTTTCCAAATTTGTCATAAACATTTTCAAGTCACCTCAAAATTCAGCCCTGATTCAGGGTTGAATGAGGAATGTGAGGGAGATCCCAGACTCTTCTTCTGTCCTTGGGCCCTGTTGCAGAACCAGCTTTTATGCAGGCCTCCTCCATGAAGTTCTAATCACTGCTGTACAATTATGAATCTATCTAACTGGTAGTTTTTAAAAAGTATCATTATCTACCATTATTGAACTTTATGTGCAGAGAAGTCTTTCAGCTATATGATGTTATATGATAGCATGCAGCTAGCTGTTTACTTCAGAGCCAAGATCTACTTAAAGGAAGATATTATGCCCATGTATCTGGTTAGGCTGGTAAAATTGAGTATAAAACCATAATTTCAAATCAGTCACCTTAAAATTTTTATTAATCTGGTTCAAAACTGCCCCCTTTAAAACTCTAAATAAATTATCTTCAAAATCCTTCATTATCACTGGGATTGGTATTTAACTTCATTCTGTATAACCACTCTAACAGTAGAGTATGTCTTCAAAATTTTCACCAGCATCATAAATAGCATTTAGCACTTTCAGTCCCTCTATATGCTGAACACTGAACAATCAGTAATAAACTTCTTATAAAATGTTTTGGTCTCACACACACCTTAAGACTGTTTCTCCTTCAAAAAGAGTTTTCCCATGATAACATTTGTAACACTCATATATGTTATCAATATATGTAGCTTAGTAGTCCAATTTCTTTTTCTAAATAAATATATGGGTCTGTACATCCTTAGGAAAATGCTATCTGGTTAAAAGAAGCTTAGTGTTGCTAATTTGTGTTTACTTGAGGTTTTTTATTTAGGCTTCCAAAGTATGTTCCACATTCTCTTAAAGCAGACCCTTCTGGACTTCTCTGGCTGGTGAGGCCATGTAGTTTAACTCACTTTTAGATGCTGAAACAGAACCATTGTTTACATTGCAGAGATGTGATTGCAGCAAATAAAGGTACATAGATAGCTTTAAGATCACACACTCCACTACCCATACCACTCTTGACTGTAGTCTGCGTGTACTGCCACCTCACCAGTTTTTTCACTACACTTTGGGAATTAGGTGGTGCTGTGTGCTGCATTGCTCAGACCGAAAGAGGGGACTGTGCCCCAGTTGCGCTGCTCCTGTTAGCAGCTCTGCCCTCATTGCCATACACCACAGGGGATTCCTCAAGAGCACAGCTTTGCTTCAGGCCACTTCCTCGTGGGCATCTTGGTGATTAAAGCAAGCCTGAGCTGTTAGGGACACAGTCCAAGCAGTCCTCACTACGGCTCTGCTCTCCAGCTGCAAAGCTACTCTACCACCACTGGAGGAATGGAGTTTGTGTCGTTTTTTGGGGTTGCTGCAGCGTCTTTTCATCCCATCCTCAGCTGAACATACCGCAACCAGTGGTGTTAGTGTAAGCCAAAACTGAATTGAGCCAATGATGGATCGTGTGTCTCAAGGCCTGGACTTTGTTTCCTCTGCATCTTGAACAGAACAAGTACATGCTGGCCTTTGATAAATGACAAATACATAGTAATTAACACACATTTGTGAATGTCAGCTTTGGTCAAAAAAAAAAATTAGAATATATTTGATAAAGTAATATAGGAACATTTTATTTTTTACCAATGCAATAAAATACATATGTAATTAATAACTTCCTTGTGTGGGCATACCTGTAGTAAAAGTTGCATTGAACCTGCACTTTACTGACATGACTGATTGTGATGACTCCAGACTATTTTCTTGTCTTGTTTTGTTACAGGTGTCAGTTAGGACTGAGACTGGGAAAAGAGCTAGAGAAAAAATTTCAGATTACAAGGGACTGGTAGAGCCCTTGTAGAGGGAACTGATGAGCTAGAAAGAGTTGAGGCCTGAAGCCACAAGACAGATATAAATTGGAAGCTGCAGAAAAAAGACTTAAATATGGATTAGCCAAATAAATTGTGCTTAATTCATGACATTTGAATAATTTCAGAGAATATAAAAAAGGTAGCACGCCCTAGGTGGAGCGACCTCAGTGACGTATTTTGGCAAGATGTGCTTTCAAAATGCTCTTTGCAAAAACAACAGTGAGGAAGATATTGTAGCTTGGATTTAATTCTTTATATGTAATAGTATATGCTTCTTTTGATGTTCTATTCCAGCTGTAATATTTGGAGTGTCAGATGTCTGTATTCTTACAGTTGCCACTAATTCCTTGAGCTTTTTGGTATTTTGTCATGTAGGCACTTGAATGCTCCAGCACTTTCATTAAGTCCTTTGACTCTTCCTGATAAATTATCACCTCAAAAAGAAATATAGAATACATCACGTCAGAAGATACCATTTCAAGTGAATGGCTCATATAAAAATCTTTTAACAGTTGCATGCAATCATCAGAAAAAGCCAAGATCAAATTTTCCATTCCATAAAATACTCTTGTTGTGATTAAGACCTTTGCTTTTGATTAATAATAATCATTATTACTAACAATACCATTTTTACTATTACTTATTATTGCAACCTCAATTGCCATTGTTATCACTGTCACTGTTGCTGTTACTGTTGCTATTGCTATATTGCTATATTTCTATTGCTGTTACTAATTATTACAATTGTTACTATTATTATTACTATTATTACTTTGATGATTATTGGCAAAAAAGTAAACATTTTAATGCTTTGAATAAAAAAAAAAAATCTTAGTGTCTTAAACCTCTTCGTTGATACCCTAGAGTGTGAACTTTTCCATACTTGAAAGACCATCAAGTTTAAAGCAGGAGTGGCAGTCTCATTTTCGTTTGAGTACTATAAATCTCTGGCAGTATGTTTAGGAACATGGCTAAACTTTGGATTATTTTGGGGGCACGATGAGTCAGGAAAGTAATTTCTCATAAAACACTGAAATGCATGTGTTTATTCTATCATTAAGATCTCATGAAGCAGCTTAGTGTGAAATTGTCACATGAGAATCAGAAAGATGGTTTTGCCACTATTTGAGATAAGTTATGCTTCAAATAATGTATGAAGTTGTAGAAGCAGTTACTATACACTTATAAGTACATTCCCTTCCCTGACGGGCACAACTTCAAGCTTCTGATTCTTTAATGGTTATAATGAGTAATATATGTTTATAGTTAGAAAAATGACTATGTAAACAATAACTCGGTGTTCTGTAAAAAAAACATACTAAATCAATTTTCCCTAGTCTCCAAATGAAAGCATGATTATTCTCACTGAAAGTATTTGAGCTGTACTAACACCTAAGTCA